GGAGGCGATCTTGGACGATGACAGGTACCTACCCCCGACGATGTTTTTCCTTTGGGTTTATAGTATGGCGCGCGCAGCTCGGACTTTTCCAGGGTTTGACGTGGAAACGCGTGCCGCGACAAACAGCGTTTCGAGACGAATCATTTTTCTTTTCCCTTTTTTTTTTAATGCAAAAATGTTTGACATTTTTTCGTTAAGACTGCTCAATCTTCGACGACTAAACGAAATCCAATTTCGTAATTTCGCGTGGATGCCTTATATGTGCCAATGAAATTTAAATGGTACCAAAATCATCCCAAACTCTATAAACCTAATAAAAATAATCTTTTTCTTGTACATTTTGAAATTGCAAAGCAATTTGTTTAACACATTGTTCAACCTTATGCAGGGATATGTTCTGGGTGGTCTTCGAAATAGGTAGGAAAAAATTTAACGTTTATTAATTTGTATTACAAGAAAGGAACCCTAGTCTCTTTTTTTTATTAGTATTAGTCGTAAATTGTCATTGCTATTCGTAGAATATATTAATTAATGATACCAAAAGATTTTTTGAAACAGCAGTAGCGGTGGCTGTAGAATTCCTCTTACCGCCCGAAATAGATTCTGTCTCTTGATTTTCGAGACCACACAGCATGTTTGTCACTTGAAGAAGTACACGGAATTGCTCATGTGGTTATAATATACTAATAACTTTTGATAGATTTAGGTTTATTTTTTTTATTGTATTACGTTACTGATATTCTTAAAATTGGTAATTTTTCCGCATTATCATATTATTTTAATACACTCAACTCCACAAAACATCGGTCACTAAAAAACAAATATTCAAGTATCTAAGTTTATATGTCGATATTTAAAAAACTGTCTGACTCATAGAAAAATTTCAAGTTCAATATCATTATTTCCACAAGTTTAATCTAGGTGACGCATTGATCACGGACAACCCTATATAACTAAATGCACCGTTTGACAAAAACTGATATAAAACGATATAACCACCTGTTTGCCATTTTACCAATAAGGAACAGGCGGAGCCTAGATGTTTCGAACCAAATCATGCTACCAATATGCAAAATTCCAGGATGGTTTAGCATCGCATTTGTTTGACATAGACTTTAGATATTGATAACAGCCGCCTTTTTAACAGTTTTAGTTTTCGAGATATTATGTAGAGCGCCAGTCCAGTCGTCCTCTTTTATAAATGCAACTGTTATAAAACTCGCAGTTGATTGATAATTTATGGAAAAAAAGTTATTCAGATTTAATCACAAAGGAAAACGTAAATTTAATTTTTTAAAAGCCATTTTCTGAACATTTAGATTCGTCGCTTGCTTTTTTAGCCCTCCGTGAATTATACCTTTTTAGTTAAAAAAAAGCTTAACCTCAACTCTGTGTAAAATCTAGTTAAGGATGTGAGGTCAAATTCATGACATTCAAAGAAAACACCCAATGTTGCTTGTAAATTTTACTTAATGCGATCATCCGCAGACGCTGATAATTTCTGCTCCCAGCTAGAGTACAAATAGATTTAGTTCTTCAGTTAACGAAACTGGTTTGAAAAATCAAACTTTTTTTTTAAATCGCCATTTTTTCGCAATATTTTCGTAGACAAATTCAACCTTTTTTTATAACAATGGCTTAGAAAAAAAAAGACATTCAACCTACCCTGCACTACACCTCGCGTACAATATGCAATCAATTATATAATCGAACAAAACTCAACTGATCATTCCCCTATGAATTCAGTGGAAATGCCTGAACTATGTCGTAAAGTAATCATTATTATAAGAACTTATTTGAACGTTGCTTTCGGGCTAAAGAAATGAGTAAAATAATATAGAGATCATATGATTGAATCTCCCTCGTGCAATAAAATTTACATTTTGTACGCATCATCATCATTGAGCTTTTGTTTTAAATTAAATTATTTCTTCCAATAAAAGTGTATTGGTTTTGATAGTCGAGTTGTGACATCGTTCTTTTTTTTTAAGTAGATATGTTTACTTATTGCAAAAACGAGTGGATTTTGTAGTTGTGTTGAAATAACAGAAATGTCCAGCTTTGTTGACAGGTATTAGTTTTTGATTTTTTCTTTTAATATATATTATCAACCGAATCTCGCAGAAAAAAAAAAACGAAAAGTCAACAAATTAACCACTTATTCGACAAACCGAAATTAATTACCATGTCGTAAGCGTCATAATAATCATAACTGGACAGTGTTAAACTTGGCAGATTTTGCGACCCGCAGCGTCAAACATTGGTAAATAATTAACGCGGTCCTCCTCGCCGGTCCGTTATTTTTGAAAACAATTAAACAAAAGCGGGCTTTCAATCGGAATTGATTGAAATCACGGTATTTAAGGCTTCTTGTTGAGTATCATAATTATTTTCATATTATAATTAGGTTTCGAAAAAGCCTAGTAAATGCCACCGTGTTTCTCCATTAGGTCTTAATTATTTTAAATTTTACGGTTCATTAATTAGTGAGTTCGAGGATCATTACTACGAATACGCAGGTATAATATTATAAGTAAATTGTTCGAAAAAATTGTAAATAATAAATGAACTTATTTGCATCTGTTAACCTTAAGCAATTTAAATCAGCGCAGTTACGTGTAGAAAGAATCTCAAAAAAACTCCTTTCCTTGTACTTATGTATACATGAAAATTTGTGAAAGGTAATTGTCGTTTTACGTAGCACGTTATCTAATTTTATCTGGAATTTATGTCTTGCGGTACAGGATATTTACGTACTTACAGCTTATTTTTGAGATATAACTCCGGCTAGTTTCATTTTATGGAAACGCAAGCTTTGGCCGAATCACAGCTTCTTTAAAAAGCTCATAGCTTTTTCTGGGTGGTTGTGTTTTTATCCGAAATCGACATCTACGTAAAATTCAAATTACCTCACATGGAGGGGTTATCCACTTTGCAATCCCTTAAAATACAGCAATACCAGCGAGCGATATCACTAGCGGTAATGAAATGAATGAAAAAGTTTTTAAATCAGTCATCTTTGGCTTGCTATTATTATATTAGCTATTAGGATTAAGCTACTCTCACCATTTTCACTAACCTGTCTCGTTCGTGCTACACTGACATTAAAACAAGATTCATCTGATAGGATCCGGACTTTTTCAATGCAAGGAATATTTTGATCTTAAATCTACCTGTTCTTCATTTAATTGTATTAACAATATTTTTAAAGCATTAAACAACACTTTTTGACCGCCTGGGATTTTATTAGAAGTGGCTCGATATTTGGGGAATGGTTATTTGATTCATAGTTCACGTAAGCCTTGATGAGACATCGTGTATAATACTGTCCAGGGTTCAGTCGCGAAGTTTTTTGAGATTATTTTCAGCAGATCCAGGCAGTCCGGAGCCTAAAACGCCAGCTGCACAAGAATACTTAACACTATTTTTTTTTATTACCCAACTTGGCCTCAGCACCACATTTACATCGCTTTGAGCTTTAATACGCCTTCTGTGTTGTTTAGAGAAAAAAAGAATGAATCGAACCTGCTAATTCAGCACGTCTCGAAAGTCGATAGGCATAGAAAGAATCATTATTTCATGCAATGCGACTGGTGTAGCGGGCTATTTTTAATCTAATGGGCGGTATGTATTTTTACGTATTTCGCTTGTTGCAAAAAAATCGGCAGCGGCCACAACCGCAATTAATCAAAGAAAAAAATAAGTAATTTTTTTAATATTGTGGTAGGGTGAAGGATAGGAAGGGGCATAATCAAATATGGGCGCTATAATTAAATACCATGCTATAGTAGTAGGTACTTATTTGATAGCGGGAGGATTTATCCGTATGGCAAAATTAATGAAATTAATGTTGTCGTAATTAGAGGATGTAGTTAGATATTGATTACATTAATAGTGTGTGTACTACACAATGCTATCAAATAATTATTATTAAATAGTAAAACGGAATTTACATGTAGCTAAGGTACTCCCGATCGGATTGATGTGGAAAAATAGGTGGGCCATTTTGTACAACTTCGCTCTGTTCATTTTTTTTGCAATCGTCTCTGTTGTAAGTTGTAGATGCTGGACTGACGTTCATTTGTCTTTATTTTTGTGATTGTTTTCGAAAACTTGCAAAACTTAGCATATTGAGAATTGAGTATATTTTTCCATCGAAGCACAATGAAGGTACACGCATGTATGATGAGCCCAAATAGTTCACCGAAACGACTTGAGATTTTTTATACATTTTGAACATTTTATACATTTTTCACTTATCACTTTAACCGACCACATACTTCTTAATGTAGATGTAAAGAAAATGCTATGCTACGAGTAATTCATTAATATAACATAATGTATAAAATTTTATGTTTTTGTTGAGTGTGACATAAATACGTCGATGTAGATGTTTGGTGCAACAAATTTTCGCTAATAGCTACGCCTCTGTAGCCTGTATATACCCTGACAAACCGGCAACTCAATTATTGCTCTACCGAAGTGGTGCGTCGTTCCTCCCGACTAATTAATTGACAAACTAAACGAAACGGGTGCCGGTCCAACCCATAGCCGAGAGGCAAACCCCTTTGTCGGTTTGGGAGGTAGAAGTTTCTTGGGGGATATGGATATTTTTGGGCTTTTTTTTGGTTTTGCACAACAATTTTTACCAAAATGTATTATTCGATAATCTGTTTCTTTCCTTGTAAAGACAAAAATTACAATGAATAGGTATTTAGATTTTTGGTAAGAAAGTACCTTCATTTAGCAACGAAATTTATCTAAACTGTCAATCGATTTCGTTTAGATGGGGACGGGTAGTAATGGGGATTATTTTCTTTGTTATACACGTTAATACGAATGACAAATAAGTATAATAAGAGGTGGTTTCATATTATTTCTCAACCTTTCTGTCTGCACTAAAATATAATTCATATACACTCACAAAAATCACGCCCACTGTCATCAATATTATCAAAGGAAAAAAATCTGAGGAATTTACACGGAGATATGTTATACAGATACGAAAAGCTTCTGAGACGGGCGAGAACGGAAGACTTGACCGAAGTGTCCGGTATTGGATGCCTGTACCAGAGCGGAGTGGATAGACTCGGCAGACCAGTGGTCGTCTTTGTGGGAAAGTGGTTTCCATTCACCAAAATTAATTTAGATAAGGTAACGTACTACTGATTAAACCCGGCCGTGTGGGACCAATCATTTATCGAATAATTTCAGGCTCTTTTATACTTAATTTACCTCTTGGACCCTATCGTCAAAGGTGACTACGTGATAGCATATTTCCATACCCTGACCTCAAACAGCAACTACCCGTCGTTCTCGTGGTTGAGGGAAGTCTACAATATCCTGCCGTACAAATATAAGAAAAACCTGAAGGCGTTCTACATTATACATCCCACGTTTTGGACGAAGGTAATTATTTTTTAAAGAAATTCAATCGTTTTGGATCATCAAAGCGAGAATGTTGTTGCTAGATGATGACATGGTGGTTTACTACGTTTATGGCGCCAGCAATCAAACAAAAGGTGCACAGCTTACCGGGCATTGAGTACTTATATTCAGTAATGGCGCCTGATCAGCTGGAGATTCCGATGTTCATCACTGAATACGACATGACGGTGAGGACCATAACGACCTTTTACGAACGTTAAAATGAGTTTCAATCTTTGAATGTGTCTTAATTTCCAGGTGAACGGCTTGAGGTATTTTCAACCCGGAGGTGCGACAACATAAACTCCCTTTTATACCCGAAGCGTAAAAGCAAAATAATACTAGTATTACCGCAAACCCAAGTGATAATTTGCAATATTATATCAAAAAAAAAAAACTACTATCGTTAAGCATGTGCCAACATACTTTTATTAAATACTAACAAAAGAAGAAAACAATTTGGCAAAATAGACGATATTTTTAGTAGGATAAATGGGGAAACGTTAAAAAAATTAGATAGCGAATTTTTACGAAAATGTTATGAAAAAAGCAGTTATATGTCGATATGTGGTACCAAGTGTGATTGGTACTTCAAAAAACAAGTGCTGAAGGTGTCTTTCTTGATGAACCCAACATTAATGTATAATTTGTTAAGAATTGAACGTTATTGGGGCCTAACTTGTATTTTTACTGTTTGAGACGCTGTCTGTGATTGCAGAATTTTTTTAGCGGCAACATTATAGCGTACGGCGTTGTGTACAATTTTAATTTGATAATAGGATTCTACGACAGTATGTGGTCTTAACTGTGGATTTTTGACACTGACGTCGAAATGTTGTCCTGCAAAATTGTTCGTCATATTGGTACTAATACAGTTTCATTATTTATAATTAGCGATTTAATATAAATATGTATCTGGCATAATAATTGTGACAGTATACATCACTTCAGTCGACTTTGTCTTTCACTATACTTACTCCATTGGTACTCCATAAGTTGTGAACTTAGAACTACAGGAGGCTATAAGAAGAAGATACATCAATAAATTTGAATTTGTTAAAAATATTTCTCACTTTATGGAAACGTATTTTCAAATTGTAGTTGGATAAATGTTTTCTCACTCTTTGTTTTTTTCATCTCTATAAGGATTCGCATAGGATGATGGTGTATATCTCAGACCCTTCTCACGGAGGCACTTTTTGAGGGGACAACAAGTTAGTCGCCGCCCGCCGTGAAACTGGCCAAATGGCCTGTTCGTAGTAAAAAAAAACTGTAGCTGTAAACCTACAATAGTCGGTTTCTGATACTCGTGAGGCGCTTACTTGTACTAAACCTTAAAAAAATATATTTCGTATAATTTGTATCTAGGGTAACATCAAATTAAGTTCATTGACGAAGTGAATTTCAGTCTCATCAACATTGCGATTTATCTTGTTCTTTGTAGTCTCCTGTACTTGGAAATATTATTGTGAAAATGCTATCATAAACATAATTTTATTAGTCTGAACACTCATGTAGTGATTGTACTTTGAGTAGTTCCACAGTTTTGTTCATGGTTCAATTACAAAAATAAGGGCAATGGTTATCATTTAAAAAATTTGTGTGCCATAGTTGTGATTATCTGCAAAATAATGAACAGTTTCTTCAATTTTCCGGCTTTTCGCCAATATTGTCAACCATACTACCTGTGCCATAGGTAATGACAACAATTGGATTCAAAAAGGAATTTTCTAATCGCAAAATAGGTTAAGGCCCTGCAAATGGTCGCTTGCTTATATTTTGTGTTAATTTATAGGCGAAAAGTAATTCGTAGTGATATATAGTGCTCGATTAAGGTCACCAAATATTCGTTCATGGCAATTTAACATTCCGTACTGAATAGATAAGCTTCAGTTTTAAAAAAACGTATACCGGACATTTCATTTTTTTTTCGTCAAAACAAAAATCGTTTTTCATTTTCAGTCCTAATTTTAAAATATGCATAACACCACCTACCACAGTAATTTCGTTTTTAACTTGAATAAGGAAATACTTTTTTATTTCGAATATGTAGGTCTGTGTTTATTTTTTTTAAGCGCATATTTTTACAAAATTTTTCATTCTGTAAATATTTCTTTTGACGGAAAAAAGTGAAGTACCCATAAAACAATATTATCGCGTGGTTTGTAATATTGCAAATATAAGGAAAAATAAGAGAATTTTCACCGTTTTTAGTCCTTAGATTGTTATTGCATTTGCATCGTATTTTATAAGGTCGTTAAATTTTCTAGATTCGATAGAGATATTGTTTTTAGCAGTTTTAAACAAGTTTATTTTAAGATGATTTTCATATGTAACGGGAATAACGTACTAAATATACAATCTTACGAGAATCTTTTTTGGCATGAGTTTTCCTTGCTTTGTATAATAAAATGAAAGTAAGTGGTGGAGTAGACATGTCATTAGCATAGCGGATCAACGCTGATGGACCGCTCTCAGAAGAGTGTATTGCAATTATATTCCGTGTGGGATGATTAAGTTTTGTCTACAAATACCACGATTTTCTGTTCCAAATTAAGAGATCTCGTATAAAACGTATATAAATTAAGTTCATTTTATGTATATGGTGTGTGCTAAATTACTAGAATAAGGACAAGGGTACTTTACCTTTTGGGTTATCTAAAGTGGTTTTTAGAATATGGCTTTCGTTTTTAATTGACGCTATTTCATTCCAAAAATCATTTTGAAATGGAAACTATAACCAAAAGTATATAGCCCCTAGTTCTGTTTGTTTCATCATTGGCCACCACGTGTTTGTTATGTCTTTGTTATGTTAAGATTTAACCTTATTTTTATTAACCACTATAATATATTTTTCAATTCTGTTTTTATGCCCTAATCTTGCAGCAAATAACCGAACTGATAACCTTTTTAGTTTTAGTGATCGTATTTTTTTCTTCCCTCCGTGGGTCATGACACCCCGCACCCTCCAACCAGAACACGGAATTGATGTTCGTATATGGTTTAATATTTTTGTATAATTTGTAAGTATACCTTTATTGTCAACTCAACTAGCACTTTTACTTTGCTTTGGTGTTAGTTGAGGGGCGTCGTTTGTTGGTGAATCGTCCCGCGCATCATAAATAAAGTTATTCTCATTAAAAAAAATGTTGGCTTTTATTATTAATATTTAACAAATACATATTACATTTTTATGCAAACGGATGTCTTGCATATAAGCAATGGATTGATAAACATATAAACTATTAATTTAGGCTGACGGATGCATACGAATTCAAAAATATGAGTAAATACTAAAGCTACTCAAGAAGTATTTTGGGTATTTGGATAATTACGTGAGAAAGACGGAAGCCCCTTGAAATTAAGCAAAACGTAAAGTTTTACTTTTCAGTTTATGAGGAATAAAGTACCGTTCCTATTCTGGTAACGTTAATTTTAATCTACTGTTTTGTTTGGTATATCTGTGATTGTGGATGTTTGGTTTGAAACAAAATATGGCCAGTACTGAGGAATAAATATAAGTTAAAAGAGGCGCAAGAGTTTCGGCCTGTCTCCAATATACAGGGACACGTTATCAATAAGACAAATACATACCAGCGTACAGTTTGTTAACTGCATTTACAAACAAACCGCAGTACATTTTGCCTTGCAAACGTATTGGCGAAAAATTTTGAAGTACTTTATTTAGTACCTACTGAGCAACATAAATTTTTGATGGCAGTCAAACGTCCTCCACATAAAATTTTGTTCAATATTCAAAGTCTTCAATATATAACGTATAAAGGGCGAAATAATCAAAACCAATAAGAACAATAATTAGTTTTCTTTATTTTCAACATAAACCAAACATACAAGGAAGTTACAGTTAATAAAATATTACAATATAGTTCTAAACTAATAAAATCTTTTAACTATACCATAGTATAGAACGCTAAAGTGTATAAGAACATTCCTTCCAGGGATACTATCATAAAACGATATATAAAATTACCAAATTCGTAAATATATTTGTTCATCGAATAGTTCAATGTAAATGGATTACGAAATGTAAAATTTTACCTTATAAAAATATTGGCACTTATATGAACATTTCCTTGAGAGGCAATTTTTCTCTAAAATTTCCTATACAGCATCTGAAGAGAACTTTGAAATAAACTGAATTAAGTTCTCTAGATTCAGAGGAACAAAAGTGTAAAAAAAATTGTATGTGGACCAAGTGATAGAATGTGAATTCAAGCGGAAGAAAAGAATCGAAATGTAATTTGACTAGATAATACCAGAGATTTTTTTTTACATAAAATGTCCAATTAGGCTTTAAAATATATGTAACTGGAAGCACCAAATTTGAAACGAGCATTGTAAATATACCTATGAGCTATATTATAAATAGGTACGCGACGAGACATGTAAAGAAATGCACTATAACAAATAATAAGTAATCCTTACACGGGTAATCGTTTTTAATATATTAATAAAGATTCTCTGACGAGATAACAAATAAATTACAAAATAAAACGATATTGTTAAACAAAACGTAAAATCAAAAAATAAAATAAAAACATTAAGGCACTTTTAAACATTTCATGATATCATCAGCCTAACTTGCACTGTTAACGGTTCTATGAATCCTATATACAATTACGAGTCTTGAGAAGTGCTTTACCTCACAAAATTGAGCAAGCTTAATACTGTCTATGAATACGTCAAAACTGATTGTTTAAGTACTTTCCCTGATCGCTTTCGAGACAGTTTCTTTCCTTTTGTTAGTTTTTCATCAACAATATATGAGTATTCGACACGCTTACAATATCAAAAAATGCACAAACAGAACAGCACTGGCACAAAACATTCAACTACAAATTACGCTGAGAATATCCGTAGTTTCAAAATGTTTGTTCTTAAATTCGTAAAATAAATAAGAGATTACAGAGGCCTCGTGAAATTTGCGGGAAACATCCCCTTCTCTCCGTTATCTTTTATGCCCATCAGCCAACCTTCCTCCTGCAAGCGGAAAACTCGTGGTACATTTGAACTGTTCATGCAATGAAATTATTACCTGCTCATCTGGGTCGTCGTACTCGATCACGGATATAATCTCCCCCACTTCAAATGATAGTTCGTCCACATCCTCCCTCGTGTACTTGTAAGTGGCCTTCACCCTGTACAAGACTCCAGGTGGTAAATTTTCCGTGCTTGCACCTATAAAAAAAATTACTCATCAGAAATAATGTCATTAGATTACACTTTATTTGTATACTTGCTATTTTTGATACCTTACCATCATTGTTCTTTTAAAAATGTGACATTTTCGTTATAAATTTGACTTTTTTTAAATTAATACTTATACACGTCGTAACTAAACAGGGCGAAAGCAGTCGACAATATTTTTTTATCCGTTTCAAGTGTCCGGTACAGTAAAAGTTAATGTTGATATGAGCATTTTAAGTCTTAGAATTTATACTTTCAAATTTCCATAAAGTCAAAATTACGCTAGTCTATTTTACTCAAACTCAAACGAAAACATACTTCAAATCAAGCGGTTAATAGTATAATTAATACGATATGATGGTGCCTAATCCTACTTTTGATAGTTCAATCAAAATCAAATCTGGTTAAGCGGTCAGCTTCAAGCTGTCACATACGATCACCCCAAATAAACTTGTGGTAACCAATGAATTCGATCTAATCGAGACAATACAGATTTTGTGAGGCAAATTTATTTTATTTATTATAAAATTATTTACATGTAATAACAAAATGTTTTAATTTGATTTATAATCATTTCTATCGTATGATAAGTGTACATGATACCGACTGGATATTTTGTTCGGTTCAAATCGGATAAAAATGGCTACTTTTTCGTAACCTCGACCGACAGGATTACGACCTCAATAATATTTCACAGACGGGCACTAGTAACTGACTAATTCAAGCACAGGCCAAATAATAGGTACATGTTTGCCGAACATTTGTCTGTATATAATACATGGTACAAAACCAACCATTTAAATATTGCTGGGGTTTTGTTTTGTTGTACAAATTGCGTAGTACAGTTTAGCGGTACTTGTGGCGCCATCTCGTCATCTTAAATACCGGGCATTTAGAAAGCATTGCAGTAAGCATGTCAGGGTCGATACTCGAATAATTATTTATATGCCTATTATTTGTGATTTTTTTGATACAAACAAAAGTTTCTCAGTTAGTTTGTTTGAAATTATCAATGATATTTTAATCGCAATTTATTATAATGTACTTTAAGAAATGCAGTGCAACCTAGAAGTTTTTGCAGCTGATGGGGTAAAAAAAGTCACGATCAAACATTAAACTAGAAATACTCGATATGACCGCGGAATGGATTGGACTGGGCAGTTAAATTTGCTGTTTAATAGTGGAGTAGACTATTTTTTGCGGTTTGAATTTAGCACTTTGGTTTGTTTATATTTAAGCTTATTAAATAAGTCGTTGCCAGATTAGTTCAAACCGCCAAAAGATCTGGTGGTACGACAAGTATTTTATACAAAATTTTTGAAACAATTTTTCCGGGATACCAGGCAGCAACCGTAATAATAAGTACTTTTACCAGTTGTCTGTCTTATTGCATTTGATGATGCCATTTCAAAAACACCCTGAATTTGAGGGTATTATTCAGAAATACAAAATATATCAGTATTTTGGTATTCTTTACTTATTGGACACGTCGAATTTAAAAAGACAATTTAAAATTGTCCCCTTTTTCAAGAAATAAAAATACTGATCAAATGTAGGCACATGTTTAGGTAAAATGCGGGTGTATTATGTTATATATGTTATTGTCTATTGATCAATTTTTTTTAAGGTTCAAAAAGACTTAAATATTTTAAATTTTTAACTTTTTTAATAACTTAGTTTATTTATTTACTTTATTCCAAGAAAATATTAATTGATAACGTACATGGAATATAACGTACTTCCAGGTATTACGGTATTATTCAGTAATCATTTGCGAGGTTTTTTCTGCAACGTGCGTGTCAGGCCGACAGTTTCCACTTTATTGTTTTATAGAAAGGATTTTTTGAGTTTATGGTTAAAATGGCGGATCGGCGCAAGTCTGTAACTGTAAAAGAAAATATAGAGATTATCAGAAGTATTGAAATTGCTAGACAAAAGAAATTGGCAAAAACAACAATCTCTACAATTTGGAGGAGTCAACGCGAAAAGATCAAGACAGCAAGTAACTGTAAATCGCATAGGATTAAAAAAAAAGAAGTCCTGTACGTTCAGATGTAGATAAAGCTCTTTTACGATGGTTTCAAGTTCGAAGACCCGAAAATATTGCAATAAGTGGTCCAGTTCTAAAATCGAAAGTCAAAGAATTAGCCAGAGGATTAGAGGGTGAGGATTTTAGTTGTTCTACAGGTTGGCTCGAAGGTTTTAAATTTCGTCACAACATAAACGCCGGAAAAATTTCTGCTCAAGTAGAAAAAATTACAGCTCTAGGGATATTTTTAATTGTGACGAGACTGGGCTATTTTACAAGATGACTGCTGATCGTACCCTCATATTTAGAGGAGAAATGTTTGGGTGGGAAGCAGTCGAAGTTGAGGTACACCGTTTAAGTTTGTGCAAATATGACATGAAGCGAAAAATCCAAACTTCTTGTAATTGGTAAATATGAACGACCGAGCGTGGATGACTTCAGCACTTTTTTATAATTATTTCGGATGAAAAACTAAAACATCAGAATAGAAAAATATATAAGAAAATAAGGAACCTTTCAATATCACTATCCTAGACTCCACAAAATTACTTGCACAATGTGAGAATGATGTTATTTCAAACTGCTTTCGACATGCGGGTCTGATAAAATCGGAAAATGAGCTTGATTCAGACGATGACTTACCTCTGGTTCAGTGGTTCGAGAAGTACAAAAAAATTGACGACGATGACTAGGAGGTTCCCCTAAGTAATTGGTTGCGCAATAGCGGCCAAGATCTAAGCAACAACGAAATGTATCTTCTTGAGCTGGATAGCTTCCCAACTGTTGATGATAATTTAATAACAACGGAGTTATTAACGTATAATGATATTACTGAAGTTTTACAGCCAAATGATCCTCGAAGCTCTGGTAACGAAAGCGACGAACGATGATGTTCAACAGGACGAAGTACCAAGTTATTTTGAAGCGCCTTGTATCACTACAATTTTTTTACAATTTAGTGAAGTATGTATTTTTACTTGTACATTGTAAAGTTCGATAGATAAGTTTTTAGTTTAGGTAGTTTAGTTTCTTTCTATTTTTATGTATTTTTATATAAAATAAAAATATTTACGTACCTACATGTTTTTTTTATATAGCGTACTTCTGCTTATAGAGTACTCATTTTCTGGCCCCTAGAGGGGACTTTATAACCAGAATTCACTGTACCACAAGACACAATCCCCATTACTAGCCATATTCTTCTTTTGTAAAATAAGTGGTGGCCAAATTGTCTGCGTTGCAGGGTCAAATAAAAAAGCGCAGATCGCCGCGTGTGCGACCGGCCTAAGATGTTGTGAAGTAACATCTGCTACTTACCAGCGGGTATGTCGTACAATTCTTCCAACTTTCGATCGCTGTTGGGCGCAAAAGCGGCGGGACTCGTGTTAGTATTCGCGTTTGGCTCGTTATTAGGGGTAGCCTTCGACGAATCCGTCGAAGGTGACGTCTTACCGTCTGGGGTCGTGTTGCCATTGGCTAGCGCTTTAGCTGGAGGCGCGGGTTCGTTGGCGCCGGGCGTGTTAGGTGGCGACGGCGTGGCGTCGTTAATTTGAGGCGACGCGTCGTTAGACGAGACGTCCAATTTTATTTGGGGTTTCACGGGGGTGGTGATATCGTCACTGACCGCTAAAAAAACACAAATCACATGCCGACAGAGGTCCGGTGCGTTAATTAAGCGCGCAAAATTAATGCCATCAACAACCAAGAAACGGCAAGAAAAACCAAACTTACGCCTCATCGGTGTGCTGTTGCCTATGATTAGCTCGGGCGAATTTTTCGTCACGCTAACGGGGCGTGGCAAACTAGCGGATCCGTTCGTTTTCTTTATACTGTAAGAGCCTCGCTGACTGTCCGTGGCAAGTTTGTCGACGATGCTGTCTAGTTCTCCGAACACCTTGCGATTATATTGATATTATACAGAATTGCGAACACGATAAGTAATGCCTCTACGATATTTGAGAGAAGTTGTTCATTACACGCAAAGTAATGATCTGCTTGCCTCGACAGCAAGTCTGTCTCAATCTTCATCGTGTTGACTTTCGACGGACCCTCCCCTCTAAAACTTAACGATGATATTACCTCTTGTTATTGAGTAAAGTCGTTAACAAAAAATTTATTCTTAGTTGACTGACAGGGGTGGGCCAGGTACATTTCTTTCTTTCTGATATATTTCTTCAGTGTTGACTATTTGTGGCAGTGTCGAATAATCGTTTTTACTGTGCATTTGGAAAAAGTTATTCTACGAGAATATAACAATGTCGCCTAGAAATAATTTGCCGCTTGATACAAAACAGGTTGTGAAAAATGTGTGTGAAACTTTATTTAGCAGCGGACTTATTCAACAAGAATCTTCAAAAGAAACCTCTCTACTTATAAAAATGCCAATTTCGTCGATAAGGGTTATTAATAATTGAAGCAAAGGAATAAACGTAGTGATATTCAAACTCAAATAGTGATCAGGACCTAATAAGAATATATATTGTCTTTATCAAAGCGAAGTTGTTCCTACCTTGGATAAACTGAAAAAGAAGTTAGAAGAAGATGAAACCAATATAGTGCCACCCTCCATAGAGTTGTTTGTGAAATGGGATTCAAGTACCGCAAAATACACAAAAGGCAAGTAGTAATGGAATCACACAAATTACGCAATTGGAGATTTAATTACCTCCAAGAATTTAAAAGATATAGATTGGACAACAGATTTTACAGAATTTACCTTGATGAAACATGGTTCGACCGACACACGCGACACTGTGTCCAAAAAATGGCTTGGATTAGCATGAAGATACAAGTGCTGAACTTTTTGCTTTCAAAACAATCTTTTAAAGAATATTCCCAATAACAGTGTGATTGTTATGGATAACGCAAGCTTCCACAGCAGTCTGCTACGCAAAACGTCACCCTCATCATTTATTTTGAATTCAGTTCCAAAAAAGTGCAACTTCTGAAAGTCCTAAATTCATGTGCAATTAAAGAACAGTATGTAAGCGATAATTTGGTTGAGCAGGCTGGGCATACGTTTTACGTCAGAGCAGAAAATGTTACTCCCACTTTAATTAGATAAAAAATATAATTAATAACCAATATCAATTGAGAGCTGGAAAAATTCAGTAGAGCACATTATAAAAATTGAGGACTCTAACATTTTTATACAAAACAACATAAATCCTTTTAGAATTAATCTCAATGGCTACTCTGATGGTGAAACAGAATTAGATTTAGACATTTAGATGAAAAATGTAATTACGTATAATAAACAAAATAAATAATAAAAAAATAAATAAATAAACAAAAAAAAATATTATTACCTAAAGCTTTGAGAGTCCTAATGTTCTGTCCTTTAACACCTACCGAACCCGAGTTTTGCTGCCGTCAGCAGGTAACTTTCATAATGGCGGGCAAAAGCCAACACGATGAATATTGACACAGAATATACATCCATTTTTGATACTTGAGATATTAAATATGCTGATGTTGGTACTTGTTGCTGTTTGTTTACGACTTAAATTTTCATTTAGCTCCTCATTTCTCAGACAAAACAAAAAAGCACCAGTATACATTAAACATAGTTGTGAATTGCTCTTCTCAACATGGCTGAATGCACCGATTCATAGTTCATTCTGGTGCAATAGTTAGATATAAAAATTTCGTGTTTTTATTGAAACGCTTCCGATTCATAATCCAGTGTTGTGTTCGCAAAGGAAGAGTATTTGTAGAGGTAGTATTAGATGAACTATTGACCGAAACTAATGTAAAAGCGATATTACTTGGCATACGCGTGACAATAAAGGAGAGAAGCGGCGAATAGCAGAAAAAATACATTTACTAAATTTAGTAAAAAATGTTAAATTAATCACTAAGTAAATATGTGCAATATATCTAAGCGACTTAGCGCACAGCTGAATGCGCCCAATACTGCCAATATTATACGTCAATTCTTCATTCTTAATTCATCAGCTTGAAGTCGATTTTTCAAGTAATTATAGATAGCCCAACACTTTTTTAGGGCTATAGCAAAACAGCCGCAGTTAACGACCTATACAAAAACAGATACACTTTTATTTCTGAAATAAAATTTATACAGTAATCGCACGTTTAAGCGTTGAAGTCATTAAGACCTACCAAATAGTTTTAATAATTCTAGAGTAAGGTCAACACAACGGAACCAGAGCCGGAGCCTCCGCTATGTTAGTCAGCTTCTTAGCGCTATTCTCAACAATTTCAGAATATATTTGTTCAATGTCATCCTTAATGTCACTCGCTACACAAAGAAAATGCTTTCCTAGTATTTATTTCCACAAACGATTATTATCATCTGTTACATTTGTATGTTTTCCCAACTTATATTTATTAAAGCTGTTTCAAAAATTAAACAAACTTTAACAAATAAATGATCCCGGCTTTCCGGACTATTTTTAAAACTTGTTTTGAAAAATCAATGAAATACCCCAACAATATCTTAGAAACCTGTTTACGTCAATCCAAATTTAGTTAATAAACAAAACCTAGCAAACTTATCCAACTAAGCAAAACTAATTGCAATTTTTTTAATAGCGACCTCCAAACGCCTGACTCATTTTTTCCAAAACAATTTAATGGGATTTGGGCATGTATTTTGAAAAAATCGCACTGTCAAACTATCTTATAAACAAAGTGTCAGACACTTTCACGCTGAACTTATTGTTGGCAAGCCAAGTTTGAAGTGACGCGCCTGTGCATATCCCTTCTCATTTTTCTTGTTTGTTTTAAAAGTGCTCCATATATATAGTAGCCCTATGCTTGACACCACATATACGAGGGTGGGGTGAAAAGTTTCCGACTTGACCAAGAAAAACGATGTTTTTATTTTTTTTTTGCTTTATTTTTCAACGTAATATCCATCAACACTGATACATTTCTCATGACGATGTTCTAATTTGGTTATACCAAGCTCCTAAAAAATACTGATTTACAGCGTCGATAACTTTTTCATTGCCCTTTTACCGCCAAGCCATTTTTTGAGATTAGGAAACAGGTAATGGTCGCTGGAGGCTGGAGAGCCAAATGAGGTCGTTTAACTTGCGCCTCGTGCTTCAAACGTTGCAATAACTCTGCGCAGTGTTACCATTTTCCAGAATCATCGCATCCCAAAAAGCAGTAGCCATAACCTTGTCCCCCTTTTGCAACCCACTGTTTTGACTGTTTCTTATTTTCCGGATTGTAGTGAGGGACCTAAGTGTCATCGACAGTTATGAATCGACGCAAAAAATCATTTGGATTACGCTTATAAAGCGCCAAATTGTCGGTATAAATGTTTTTCCGAATCAGTTTTTGGTCGAACATTAGCAAGCAGGTAATAGTCGCACACATGGTTGTGCAAAATATTTCTCAGCTTTTTCATGCACTTTCAACCTGCGGTCTTCCAACACTATTTGATGGAATTTCTCAATCATTTTTAAAGTTGTGATCTCAACGGGTCGTCCTGAGCGAAGCTTGTCAGAGATGGTCACACGACCCATTTTAAAATCAAAAACCCAGTGCTTAACAATTGAATACGATGGGGAGGAGTCTCCTAGTCTGTAACCCATCTCTTCTTTAATTTGTTTTGGTGTAAAACCTTTTAAATAGCGGTATTTGTTGAGAGCACGTTTTTTCAATTTTTCCATTTTCATAAAACAACATGAATGTGATCTCAAACGTAAAATAACGTAGCCATCTGGCTGAAACTGTCCATATAAGATCGGTAGGAATAGTACTGTGGGGTGCCGCTCCAAAAGTACACCTAGTGGCGCCACCTCTCGGTCAGGCAGGAAACATTTCACCTCACCCTCGTATATGTATAGGGCCATGTCTGTGCTGCTAATACAGAAACTTTTAAATCCACCGTAAAAAAAATGTTAGAAATGGCCATTCAATATACGCACTCGGGATCATTTCGATTTTAGATCTCTCGGCATTCAACCATCAATATAACCGCTGACAGAAAATTTGACAGATTTCAATTTGCATATAAAGGCAATATTTTCTCAAAATATACCCAAATAGCGTTAATTGTTCAGAAAAAAACGAGCTATGTATGTTGAGATCGCTGTTCAGACAGAAAAAAAATGCATCATCTAAGTTATATGCTTCACTTTCTTAGCATGCGGTGAAAGAATGCACTCATATAATAATCCTTTTAAACCAGGTGTTTTTAAAAATTTATAGTAAGTTTACTGTTTCCAATGGGACACTGTGTCATAATACAAATATTATATTGACATCATGTTTGAGAACGATGAGAGGATATGTCACATACATCTCCCCTCCCAACAACTCAAAAATTTGAATGCGTTAATAAGTAATGGGTTATTACAAGTACCTTTGCGGCTTCCGAATGGAAAGTGTGTTCGGCGTTAAACAAAGACTGCAGATTCGTCACCAAAAACAATACTCTGGAATCGTACAGTGCCGGCAATTCGTCGTGCAATTCGGAATTCAACATCTCGTACGTCCTCTTCGCTTCTTCGAGTTGCTCTCGGCCTTTGGCAATTTTGACGTCGTCCCTCTTTTTCATATTACTCTGCAGTGCTTGAAAGCTGTGCCTCTGGCTGTCATAGTCCACTAGCTTCCTCCCTCTTTTGTCGATCTTTTTCTGAAAAATAACACCCGAGATTTAGGCTTGGCCTTTGAACGTGCGCTCGCTTACCCTCATTTCTGGGAATTGAGATTGGTAAGTGTTCAGAGGTAGTAGTACTTGGTCGGCGAGTTTGTGACTAAAATCTTGCCAGAGCATGTCGACCGACTGGGTTTGCACGTACATAAGATCGTGACCCGTCCATTGACTTTCGTAAATCTCGCCTATCGCTTCCAGAAGCGATTTCGATGCCACCTGAGCAGCTAAAAAAAATCATACTACTTCTAAATGGTGAAGAGTAAAGGATACGCAATAAACACTTTCACTGGTAATGTCATAACGTCCATATATAAATTAAATAAAAACTGACTACACTGTTGATGTTGGTTTTTAATTGACGGAATTGTTACGTTGGCTGTATGAAAATAATATAGAAAATTGGCATAAATATTATATTTGCCTGCAATATCTCCAATATTAGATACCAAAATGTTTCAATTCATCCATAAGACATCGGTGCTGCGACTGTAAGGAGGCCTACCTCTAATACACCTAATGTAGTTGTTAAATTCCTTTTGCAGTCTGTTGGCGGCGTTCTGTTGCCTTGTAAAGTTTTGAAGGTGCTCGTCGAATATTTCGTCCGCAGTTCTATCTACCTTGCCCAAATTTTGGAGTATCTATAACAAATGATACACAATTCACATGTAGTTTATTTAAACGGATAGTGACTAAATTATTTTGGTAATTGTGATTGTACGTCCTAGTGATCGTTTTTTATAATGAGAAAATGTAAACGTGCTTCACATAGAATCTCAAATTTCCCACGGAAACATTTTTAGCCATTTTACTGCCGTGAGCAGAATCGACCTACTATTATAATCAGAACTTCTGAGGGAAGTTAAACTTCATCGAAAGAAAGACTGTATGCATCTTGTATGCCAGGAAATCTGGGATTTATGATGGGTTATGGTTCACTGGTGCCATTTACTCACACAATAATAAAAAATTATTAATGGCAGATGTTCACTTGCCAAGCTATTCTTCTTTATAGAAAATAATTCGACCTCTTTTATAGAAAATAATAATTCAAAAATTATTTTTCTGTTGTACGAGATGGATTTTTTGGTTATAAATTCAAATTCAAAAAGTTCAATATAGGCAAATAAAGGCAATTGTAACGATTAAGCGTGACGTTTCATTTAAAACGTATAGATGCGCACGAGTACGTGTCCATCGCTTATAACTACATGCAATCTAATCCATCGGATGTTTTATAACTGCGATTAGCGTGAATTGTGATTCGGTTTTCAGTTGAAATTGATGCCCCGTTCAACTCTAGCCATTAGCGTGCAGATTGTGTTTGTTCAATTAACGTTAAAGATTAATCGCATTTGATAAAAAAAATAAAAATAAGTGGGGATATTTTAATATAGGGGATTTTCAGGACTTGCTTTAAGTGTTTATCATTTGTTGGAAACCCCTGCTAACCGTCTCTACAGGTATTTTATCTTAGATAGCGCTAGGTGCCGAGAAACTTTTGGACACACAAAGGATCTGGATCACTGGTCGTGTTGGTTGTTGAATGAAGGATGCATTGCTGGCTGTAAAATTTGAACCAGCGAAGTTACCCAAATGAACACGGGAAAAACCTATATGTGGATCGCGTGCTACTGAACCCAAGTAAGTATAATACAATTCGCCAATGTGGACACAGAGCATCCGTAATACAAATATAAAAAATATTTCTACCGGTCTGTTCTATAAATAATTTGATATACGGGACAACTTGGCGCTTGCATTGCGTAACTCCCCGCTAATAGACCCTTGTCGTTTTATTTTCCTGTTGAGATTTGAGAAAAAAATCCAGATTTGAAAACGCGGGTTGCCACATTGATCGACCCACGGAAACTCGCGGACATGGTGTGGGAATAGCATCGATGGCGACAAAATTTACATGGAAGGCGACAAGTTGCGCCACGGAGCCTGGACGGAAAGAGAGATCGATGACCCGACATATTAGACGACACGGTGACACAATAGACTTTCCTCTGATGAAACTAATATATTATACAGCAAGCAAGCGAGCGAGGATGATAGTTCAAATGGTGGAAAACCGTACACCACACTATGAGCGAAAAAAAAACAGAATTGAATGCTGAAGACCATTTAAACTAACCGATGTTAGTTTAAATGGTTCCCCCCCCCCCCCTTCCCCGCAATCGGTACCTTCCATATCTTGTAAAATAAGTGATCTGAGTCAAATCCTATAGTTCTGGTCGCATTTCCATTCGCATTTGTTTGGCACATTATTTTATAACTAATTGTTATCTGCATTGTGCTTTAGCCACAGCTTTATCTCTTACAATTTAACCATGTGTGTAGGTTTTAGCTGCTGTTTCCATATGTCTACTGTGTTACAGGTGCATTTAAGATGCTCCTATACCATTCTCAATAAGTAAGATACTGAGGGAAAATAGTTAAATACAAAAAGTGTTTGACCCTAAGTATATATTTTATTTATAGTATTTTTTATGTATACGGGGGTGTTCCATTGTGACAGGCCAGTAAACAATTTTTTTTTCATGGAACGCTAAGATTATTTTTAAAAACATTATTCGCTTAATTTCGAGTTTTTTTTTTGAGAAAAAACAGGTCTTTGAAAAAAATTCTTTTTTTACTTAAACTCACCTAATAAAAGTGTAAAGACAGGATGTTTTGTTAATTTGAAAAAACGTGTCATTTTTTAATAGTCATTTGTGACCCTGTATAATATATTCTCGCCATAGATAGCTCAAAGCATTAAATATCAACCACTTCCATGCATCCATAATAAAAGTAAATAAAGTATAAAAAACGCTTTTGTTTTCAAAAACCTGTTTTTTCGAAAAAAAAAATGAAAAAGTTCATTATTTCAGTATACACAAAAATACTATAAATAAATATAAAACACTTTTTGTATTTAACTTCTTTTCCTCATTGTGGTACCTATTGACCTAAGGTATAGAATATGGACCACCCTGTACTGGTAAGGGTAACAGCAAGGAAAAACGATTGTCGGAAATTAAAATTTATGGTCATTAAAATATTGTAGTGTAAAGTTCATTCTTCCAATAAATGATAGCACCGGTTAGAATGGTAAAGTCCGATGACATTTCAAAAACAAATATTTTTCAAAAATGTTTGGGTAAGAACATTTCTGTCCAGTTAATCTTAATCTATTGGATATGTCATCGATACTTGTTTGGTCATGTAGTGTCAATTTTGATGAATTGAGGCAAGAATTTTAAAAAATCCAATAAAATTAGTTTAACTTGTTCGTATTTTCAGTTCAGTGCTGCAACCTTTTCTGACCTCATTCACTGTGTACATCAAACGTTAATTGAAATTTACACCTTGGTGTAGAAAGCAATCGACAAACATTAGATAACATTCAAACATGTGGCAACGTTGCCGGACCGGGCATGACAAAATTATTATTTTCTATGGCAGATTGGTTACAGAAAACGGCGCTAAGAATAATCACAATCTACATTCCGCGTTTTACAGGTAGGTATGCGGTTAAATACGATATTTTAGTCAAATGGGGCGAGCATAACATGGCTTTTACTAACAGTTTTTTTTTTCGTTAATAAATGAGGCAAAATCTTTGGCACGAACAACTTTTTTTTAATTTAGGCAGAATTTTCTTTGCCATGAAATCTATAGTTCTTCTACAGTGGAATTCCCACTTACATGTTGACGTATCTGTGGCAGGAGCTGGGGCAATGTTAGCATAGGGATCTATAGCTTAGTGACGTAATGTAAAGGGCCTATATGGCAGTTACTGATACCTATAGAGGCGATAAATATGACAAACGAGATAGAACAGACTGACGAGCTGCTATCTATTTGCATTATAAAAAATGACAATGAAATGATGATAAAAGAGAGCAAATAGCCAAGGTTTTCTTACATTTAGTATTTAATTGTATTCGATTGTAATACCTACGTAATGACTGTATTAAGAAACTCATGTCTTAGTAAGATGTGATTATATATGAGGGCTACCTTTTATATTTCCGGATTTGTAATAAAAAACTATGGGCTACCAACCAATATGACTTTATTGTTTCTCAAAATATTCACCTTGATGATCAAGACACTTTTGCATTCGATAAAACCAATCATCAAAGCACTTTTCGCACATCGATTCGGGCACCTCTAAAACATGCTTTTTAAACGCATCAATTGTTTTTTCTGGTGTCAAAAATCGTTGCTCATTTATTCTTAATTTATGGGAATAAAAAGAAGTCATTAAGTGCTAAATCAGGACTATATGCTGGATGGTTCATCAAATCAACCTTTTTAATGCTCAAAAAGTTCTTTGTTTGCACTGACCGGTCGTCGTGGAGAGTCATTCGTCTTCGACGGTTGGTTTTTCTAATTTCTTCGAAGACATTCGGCAAACAATTGGTTGTGTACCATTCAGAATTGACTGTTTTACCTTTTACCAAAGAAACAGTTGCAACTTGGCCAGTTTTCCTGAAAAAACAGGCTACCCTTTGGTTCGAAGTGCCTGCACGCACGAACAACTTTTATGGGCTTTGTCTCATTCTGAAAGACCCACACAGTCGACTGCTGCTTACTTTCAGGTGCATATGCATAGATCCGTGATTCATCACCCGTCACGATATCATAGATATGTTTGGAAACACCTCGATCGTATTTTTTTAGCATTTCCTTCGACCAATCAATACGACCTTTTTTTTGAGCTAATGTCCAATTATGTTCATGCAAAATTGTATATATGCTGGCCCCACTAATGCCCAATCTCATATTAAGTCACATGACGATCCTGCAAAATCAGTGTCCGCACTGTATTAATGTTTTCTTGGACGACCTTCACGAAATTCGTCTTTAAGAAAACTACGACCATGAAAACCAGCGATAGACAGTAGTCCTAGATGGTGCTTTAACTCCAAAAGACGAATTAAGTTCATCGATGCATTGTTGTCGAGTTATTCCACGTCTAAAGTTGTAAAAAATTATTGCACGAAAATGCTCCCTATTAAGTTCCATTTTTAACTGTCACATTTTTTTTAAATTTATCACAAAAAACACACACAACACTCTTTCGCCAAAACCTAACTGAGTAAAGCTAACCTCAAAATGTCAAACTTCCCTACAAAAACGTTAGTCGCCTGATGGCAGCACTAGTTTAAGAAAATCCCGAAATAAAAAGCAGCCCTCGTATATCATTTTTAAGAGGATAAAATTTCACAGAAGTATGTGCGCACAACGAATTTCGAAGCATTTTTTTAATGTCGTTTTCATGCACTAACTTTAAACAATTATTTATTAATTAATTCAGCAACCTCTTTAACGGTAACGATTAGCTAAGACACGCCAGATATTTACGACAGATTTTATCCATAACGTTCACCTTAAGCAAACTAAGTTTGCTTTTAAGGAAAACCGGTACAAACTAGGTAGACGGTGCGCAATTTAACACCCGATTCTCAACGGGTCAAACTATATCAGCGATCAATTCATCGGTGATTTGTTTTGAATGGTGGTAGGTATATAGCCAGTCATGGTAGCCAAATTCGACGCCCTTGCATAAATCGGTTAGGATCGCATCTGTTTAAATAACAAAATTATTTTTGGCGTGGGCTAATATTAAAATCCTGTCGAAAAATATTTCGCTACATCGTAAAAAGTCGGACTTTTGGGAAATCCGAATCCGAAAACAAACAAGCGCGAACATCACTTTCTAGGCCGCCACTTTTAATCTTTCATATCGATTCGCCTATAATTAAAAAAAAGACGCGATAGATTTGTTTACGGACGCGGGAAACGGATGCTAGAAGTGGGGTATTTATAAGTAAAACAACCATTAAAAATTTCGAACGGTATATATAATATCCTTTGACCACACGCTGACATGCTAACAAGCAACTTACTTATAGGCGACCATAAAATTATCCGGCGTGCAAGGACGTCCGAGAACTATTGCTGCACGACTATTTTGCACCGCATGAATTTATACAAATATCTCCCGACTGTATAGCTCGTTCGAATACTGCAGAAAGAAATTGTACGGCTCGTTGCTCTTTTAAGGAATGTGATGCCAACTTTATGGGTAGATTTCTATATTGTTGACGAGTAGATGTATCATTTCACAGTGGGATATTTTTGGAGGGTGTAAGTTCGCAGACACGAAAATATTTCGATGTAAAATTTGTCAAAGTCACTGTTATTTTATATCCACAAGTCATAATTTCTAGAGTATTTGGTTTACCAAAACGAGATTTGGTATAAAAGAAGCAGAGTTTTCGGATATTTTTTACCTTTCGACCATTTCCTGTTTCACCGGAAACGGCTCCGGTTTCAAATTTTCTGGATCAGAATGTGACATTTGAAAAAATATTTACGCCTGTTTTTTTCTGAACCGCATTATATATTGCATCTAGGTGGCTATAATCCACCACAACTAATTCAAGTGAGTAATGCAAAAAAGTTAAAATTGCGAGGTTTTAGTGATTTGTATGATAGAAAAAAATAAGTAAATTGAGCAAAATTACATTTTCATTTATAAATGTATTTTTTTAAATGGCATACTTACCGAAAAGAAGATTGATTTTTGGGCTTATCTAACGATACTAATTTATATGTAATTCGATATAAATATAAATTAAATATTACCAAGTAAAATAAGGGATAATTATTGATTTTTGTCAATAACCCTAATAATAATAATAATAATAGATAATAATAATTAATAATAAATAATAATAAATCCCTAATAACCGGGAAACAAAATATTTTGCATTCTGCTCCATTATTGTCTCAAAAATCTAAATATGATAGTTAACTAATGGAAAAAGCAAAACTAACCAAAAAGTGTCCTTGACTATATTACTTAAGTTTGAAAACGAAACGAGGTATTTCGTCTTCATTCTGCAAATTTCCAAAATATTTAGTCTATTTAGAACTATAGTTCACACTCACGAAATTAGAGTAGAAAGATAATAATGCCAATTTAATATTTTAAAAAAATCTCGTTTTTTTATTTAATCTAAACAAGTTTCCCATATTTCGACACCGAAAGTTTAAAGTTAATAGTACCCATAAAATAACCTTGAGGAATGTTTCCATTTTAAACTATCATTCATATTATTCTTTTTATCAAGTAAATTTTTGGTTATATATAAACAAAATATTTAATACTTATTTGACGTCACCATTCTAGGCGGCGCAGACGCCATTTCTTTTAAGTGTATGTATTTTAATGTGTATGTAAAATGAAATTATAATTGATTTTGATTTTCAAACGTTTACAAAAACAATACGATGCTAAAAGTAAATCCCCAATATCATTTCCACACAATCTCCGAGGACGCTGTAAGGAACTACATTTTTGAAATAAATTCTACTTCTACCGGGTCAGATCAAATTAATCTGGAAATGATTTCTAACTACAATTATTAACTCTTGCTTCTTAGCAAATACCTTTCCAAATCAATGGAAAATCTCTCCCTCTGTGTAAACATTAAACACGGATGCGGATGACACACAAATATACATTTCATTTTTCCCGCTCAACTCTATATTAACGAGGACTTAAAAAATCTGCTGCGTTTTGCTGAAAGACATAACTTGTTAATAAATGCATCAAACAAAATTTTTGTGTTCGGAATACATAATGATAGATTGTGGCAAAACATAAAAATCAAAATCGGTGACGATAATGTTCCATATTCAAATCAGAGCAGGAATCATGGGCTAATTTGTGTTAAGATTTAAATTTCACGTCAACAAATGGCACATTCCAATCTTAAAGGTATTTTTCCCCATAGAAATCTTTTGTCTAGGAGTGCAAGAACAGACTGACGGATTCACTTTTTATTAGTCATTTTAATTTTGCGGATGTTGTATGTATGGCCCCTGCCTCCTTAGTATAGACAGCCACAGAATACAGCGCATCCAGAAAGCATGCAGAGAACCTGTCTCTTACAAATTAAAAGAAACGAAGTTTTATGGAGAAGCCCAGAACTTTACACGCGGCTATGTTGTTTCATAAAATTTAAAAACATTATCAGTGGCCGCATTTAAATATCAATATAAACAGTTTCTTTTAAATTAATATTATATGAGTGATTATTTTTTGTATTTTTATATAGTTTCGTGGATATCGTACTGAATGAAACTGAATGCTTTGGCCTGTGCAGTATTCAACACTCGATTCAATCTGTTTTTTTAGGACGAACTGTGAGAGAAAAAAATGCCTTAGCCGGCATTACAATTATTATCTGAATACGGTGAAAGTAGGTATGTGTGTACGTACTATCAAATGCGTTTCGCAAGCATTCACGTCCGATGCGTCTCAATCAAAATGGCACTTCTAATTGTACATCGCGACCTATCTTTGAGATATAAATAATGCAGTACTAGCATTACTTGGCGTCTATAATTGCTAGACCCTCGACAAAGTGCGTCTTATGTGTTTGTTTTGTTTTTACATTGTCCCAGATAGCCGGAAAAATTCTCATTGCAATAAGGCTCAAAAAAATCACCTATTTAATAAATTAGATAGTTAAAATGACTATGAAGATACCTAATTCTATATGTATTTCTTTTTTATTTGTTAATTTTATTAATATTTAACAAATTTGACTTATTGGGTTAGGTAAATTTAAATTTATTTATTTAATATAATTAAATGAACGTTGACAATTAACAACTAGCATTGTAATAATGAGTTGATGTAGTGAAACATAGACCCAGACGTAGAGCTAGACTCAACATAAACAATTAAACTGTAATTAGTAAGCAGGGTAGAGTATTAAATAAACACTAGTTACTTAGTGTTATACAATTGGTAGTATTGTCGCTTTTTCACTCGGTTATAACATAATATTTAACATTTAAAATTATTATGAACTATTCTGGAGGTGGAATTACAATTTTTTATTTTGTATTTTTTGCTAACCACAAAGATCTTCTCGACGAGGGTCAGAATTTTTCTTATGAAAAGTAGGTACACATGTATGTACGTAAATGGTTTACCTTTCTTTCTAATATTCCTTGCCGGAACCTTTCGATTATATTTTAGGTTTGTTTTTGAATGAAATTGCTAGGATTTTCAACATTTTCGCAACTACTCAAGATAGGTCGATGGGTAGGTATATGCGTTTTCAAATATGACCGTTAAAGTGAAGTTAAAATTACGAAGAAGCCCTTAGAACATTTCACTCTAATAAGGCTCGCAATCACAGCATTAACATCTTCCTAGACAAAATAAAAAAGACTTTTTTAAAAATATCTGGAAATAGCTTTTGAGGAAATATTCATAAGCTTTGCGTTAGGGAATCAAAAATAATTAAATGTGAGCTTGCGCCTGAGAGATAATTTTTTAACGGCAACTCGATAAACAAAATTATACATAAGTAACAATCGGGAAATTAGACGGCAAGGTCATGACGAAACAAAATTACACGCTACCTGATGTAACGAATAGGTATACATATACAGAAAAAAGTAGGTATGTTGCCCACAATTTTTAGCGAAAATTCGTGACTCTTACAATAACGAGATTTCATATCAACAAATTATATATAGTGCATATACATGAATATATTTTTACACGACACCCGTTTAATAACTTCTTGGATTATATCTACGATAAAAATAATCTACACCTGGAGAAACGTTTTTTTTTGTTTTCAATGTGGATGTGTGTAAGAGATAATATATTATTCCTAATATTTAGTTATTTTTATTAATATCTATAGGAAAACATCAATAGCAAACCAGAAAACTTTACACCAAGTTCTTTGGAGTTTATTTAAATTTGTATCTGATAAATTAGGTAACACAACTTCTCTACCTATCATTTCTTAGATTCCGCAGCTCTTTCCATAGCAAAATAGAAAAGAATAGAAAGTTGTTCAATTTTTTATCGCCGCAGTTAAAAATACAAAAGTAACTACAAAAATGTCAATGCGACTTCCAGACATTCTATTTTTATATGTTGGAATAAGCGCAAAAATTTTAACAAAACCCGGCTCTGCCGCTCGTCCGCGAATCCTTTTGGTGTGGGAAATGAAAAGAAACTAGTTTTGCAAACCCACACTACGTTTTGAGTTCGCAAAAATTTGTCGCAGTAGGTGTTAATTTTTCTTAAAAAGGCAAGGTGAATATCAATGCAAGCACTTGGCTATACCTATGATTATTAAGGAATATACTCAACAGGTAGGTACATACGTACACATATCATATATATGCCTGCTACATGGGCCGTTAATTTATGGTCAAATTTATGGGAACGGCTTATATAAATTCAATTAAGTCACCAAAGTTATTTTTATACACCTATCCGCGGTCCGCACAGTCGATGTGAGTTTCCCGTTATAATAGTCTCTTAAACAGGTTTATTAAGGTCCAATACCGCGATACCTATGAGTATTTTTTCAACATGTGGCGCATATATCACCTGCTGACACTGTAAATACGCCACTGACCTTTTCCTTGGCTCGCCCTGCATGCTTCTGTACCGATTTGGCGAGCATGGATCCTTTACTTTCCGCCATTTTTGCCCGTGTAGTTACCCAGTATCACTTTCCCGTGCTTTATTTATACAAGGGACAGCAAATCGTTGGGTTCGAAACGTCACAAACACTCCGCAACGCGATCCCCGATTGCACTGCAGCGCCTCCGATTAACTGCAGACAATCAAGTTGCTTTCACTACAGCAACGTGACCTAACTTTAGCGTTTCGTGTTTTTCCTGCCCTTTTCTAACATGTTAACCGTGGCATCGCCATCTCGAATCGCACCAGCAAAACAAAATGGAATTTACGTATAATTGTAGGTTCCGTTTTAAAGTTCCCCTTGCTGCCAAGAGATGGAAATAAATGAAGTTCTTCGTTTAACTTCTTTTACGGAAGCAACTGACCAATTTTTACGATCTGTTTATAGACCGGTATTGGGCTAATGATTACACTCGATTGTATAAGAAAGTTTAAGTAAATGTTTATTATGAACTGCTGGATTCTGTGGTGGAGTATTGCACGGGGCGGTTTAACCTCTGTTCGCTCCCGACAGAATCCCATGTATTCATCCCAAAAAGTTTGATATCGGTTTCCACGGCGTGGATTTAGTGTTTTGAGTGTTCAGTTCAGTCTTAAAGTGATAATCGTCGTCGGTCCCGTCGTTTTTCCCCGTTCACGCCGGTATTTTTTTGGTATCGGTCAGAATCGTTTTTTGCTAGCTGAGCAAATTTTGGTTATATTTTTTCTTCGTACGTCTTGGTCAATGACCAAAAGCGAAAATCCTCGACGGAAGTCGGCAATGGGCAAATGATCCTAGCAGTTGCGCCCAACAGTGTTAAACGCATAATTAACTTAACTTATGAACTGCTGTTGTCGTTTTGACAGTGCAATAATACAGCAAAGTAAATTTATTGTAAAATTGTTTATCGTTTAATATTTGGAGTCGCCTCATGAGCCTAAGGCATCAAATGAGATACCTAAACCCCTACGAATTACACAAGTTGCTCGTAAACGAATACATTCTTAAAAGGCCAGGGGATACCAAGCATTTGCAGAGAGATTGTTCTAAAGATGTTAGAGATTACGATGTCATCAGGCAAAACCATAAGTTTTTATGGGAGACAGACCATACTCCGTGTACATGGGAGGAACAATTTGCCAAGAAATATTATGACAAGCTTTTCAAAGAATATTGCATTTCAGATTTGAGTCGTTACAAAGAAAACAAGGTATTTTGATATAAACAAATGGGTTATTTAAATAGTTGCTAATTTTTGGAAGGTGGCGTTAAGATGGAGAACTGAGAAAGAAGTTGTTACGGGTAAAGGACAATTTATTTGTGGAAATAAAATTTGCAGTGGAAAGGAAGATTTACGAACTTGGGAAGTAAATTTTGCTTATAAGGAGAAAGAGGAGCACAAAAATGCTTTGGTTAAAATTCGTAAGTTATTTTTAAAAGTGCATGTAACTGAATTAATAATAAATTGTAGGACTCTGCCCAACTTGTTCTCATAAGTTAAATTATCACAGCCAAAAAAGAGAAGTAAAACGGCTTTACAATAATTTTAAACAGAAAGCAGTGACGTATGCTAGTAAAAATGCAGCAGATACTTCTTCAATTTCACAAGTGGAATCAGAACTTGTGGATAATGTTCAAATTGAAAGCAATTGCAACCCAAGTGTGGCTGATGTAAGCTGGACAGACCACAAACCAATAGAGACAAAGTCCAGGGATGAAGAGATGGAGGAATATTTACAAGATTTATTGCTATAATATATTAAAAATACAAAGTATTTCATTATAATTTTTATTTATGAACAAACACAAGACTTCGATCATAACATCAGCTACTCTTTGCAGTATGGCGCATCAGACTTTGAACTGATCAGCATAAAAAAAATCAAACAACATAATTTAGGAGTGACTTATGGTAAGCAGAAAAGGACCTGTGCTAGTAAAAATGCAGCAGATACTTGTTCAGTTTCATAAGTGAAATTAGAACTCGTGGATCATGTTCAAGTTGAAAGCAATTGCAACCCAAGTGTGACAAAGTCCAGGGATGAAAGGATGGAAGAATATTTACGTGATTTATTGCTATAGTATATTAAAAATGCAAAGGCTTTAACGATAATTTCTATTTGTCAACAATCAGAAGACTTCGATCATAACATCAGCTACTCTTCACGGTCTGGCACATCAGACTCCTAACTGATCAGCATTAAAAAAAAACTAAACATAATTTAGGAGTGACTTTTAGCAAGCAGAAAAGGATCTGTGCTAGTAAAAATGCAGCAGATACTTCTTCAATTTCACAAGTGGAATCAGAGCTTATGGATAATGTTCAAATTGAAAGCAATTGTAGCCCAAGTGTGGCTGGCTGATAAAAGCTGGACAGACCACAAGCCAATAGAGGCAAAATCCAGGGATGAAAAGATGGAGGAATATTTACAAGATTTATTGCTGTAATAAATATAAAAAAAACAAAGTCTCATTACAATTTTTATTTATGAACAAACTGAAGACTGCGATCATAACATCAGCTACTCTTCGCGGTCTGGCGCATCAGACTCTGAATTGATCAGCATCAAAAAAATTAAACTAAACATAATTTAGGAGCGACTTATAATTAATTACATTTACAAGGGTACCAAAAACGTTTACAATTTTATACATTTTTATTTCTTACAGTTCGGAAAGAAACCCAAAAAATCACTTGCCACGTTTTCGACTCTCTCGATTGGTTTAACAAATAGTGAGGTAGCTTTGTTGATTACTTTTTCAATTTTGCTCTAGTCGTCACGTTTTTTTTTTTTTTTTTGCATCTCCTACACTCTTTTTCAACCATCTCACAGCACTGAAGACGAACGAAGTTTTAACAAATAAAACGTACGAAAATGTTATTTTTTGTTTTTGTACACACTGTTTACGCTACGCTTTAACGTTCACATCGGGGTGTCTCTTTCTAACTTGAACACATTTAAGAACAGTCATTGAACAGTATCGAGCCTTACAAGTTTCAGCTTTGTTTGACCCGCTTCCGAGGGGGCCCTATCGGTGGTATTTGTTGGGTCGCTAGCGCCCTAAAAGCCTCTGCTATCAAGTGGGGATGCGTCTGGATCATGGACTTCCAACCGGGCGTGTCCATTACATCGGTTGCATGTCTGTGGTAAATAAAAAGCATGTCAGGGGGAAGCATAGAATCACTGAAAAAAATTTTAATTAACAAATTTAAGAAGTCTTGATAGACAGCAAATTACTTATTTTGACGATAATTACTGTTAAAATAATAAAGATTATCACCCAGATCTACCCAAATCTTATAATAATAAAGACCCTTTAATTTGACTCAATCAAGTTTTGCCACCTAAACAAACGTTTGTACAGGGCAGTTCCTCAAATTCACAGCAGTTCAGGTTAATATGAACTAGTTACTCACGTATTTATAAAGTCTATGGCCTGCGCCTTCAGCTGGTCTGCACTGTGCAAGTCGGCTAGAATTAATATCTCTGCTGCATTCTCTATTGACAAATTAGTACACAAAGCTTCCTCGCACATGACCTTTAACCTTTCAAGGGCATACTGAAACATAGTCCATTTATTAGAATCCTTCGACCCGTCCCCCTATATCAAATCGAACCTTATCGGCTGCCGCCAGAAGATCGTCCGCCATTTTCTCGAGATTCGAAGCTTTTCCGGTGTATATAAACCTAAGCATCTCCCTTAACACTTCGTGATCAACGTCAGTTATGTCCACTCTGTTATGCTTGCGCTCTTCCATTTCATGTTCAAACATCGCTTGAAATACTGGACTTCGGGCTGCCAAAATTTATTTTGTTGAAATTCTTTTTCACAACTTAAGCAGGTGACTACCGACCATTGTCACCACTCCATTTTTTCCAGTTTATAAAACAAAAATTTGAATATTTTGGCATAGATTACTCCTCAACATCACTTTTAATTTAACCGGTGAAACTAGCAAATTTTGATTGTAAATAGCCACTCTGTATATTATTTCAGCCAGTGGTATCACCTCTCCTCTATTTGGAGATCGGTTGACATTTGTCTTCTAAATACTAGCCTAATAGCTTGTATTTCATAGTGAAATTCACAGGTCTACAAAATTAAACTTTTTGACAGATGTTATTGTTTTGAAAACATGTTATATAATTTTGGTCAGTTGATTTCAAAAATTCTATGCATTTATTTGGATCACGTAAGGTTTTTTTACAAATATTAAAGCAAAAAAACTATATTTCCAAAATATTTAATTTTTTTATTCAGTAAAAAAGTATAATACTAGTTAAAAAAAAGTGAACAAAAAGAACTTTACTCAGACTTCTTTGAGTGAAATCTTCGTCTTCTTGGCAGAACGCTGCGTTGTCCGGACATTCGGCTGTACGTTTTTAAAGGCATCCCGTTTTAACATCCAGCAGTGGTCCACCATCATCATAATGTTCCATCTGCAATGGTATTGCCGTTCCATTTCCTTAATGTCCTGGTAAAACCTCTCTTCCTGGTCTTTGCTAACAGCTCCAAGATTTTCAGGAAAATATTTTAAGTGTTAAAACTTATATTACAACCTAGATGATGAAAGTGTAACATATTTTGAACAATACTTCCGTAGTTTTAGTCCTTAGAGTTCCCAAGAAACTTATCATTTAGGCGTTTTTCTCGACATTGGTCATTGCGTTTTGAACATCCTTGTCTTTGCATAATGTTCTCATCTGCGGCCTAACAAAAATACCTTCTTTGGCATCAGATGTGGCTGGAAAATTCTTGCACAAATATTTGAAGCACTGTCCATTTTTGTCTAGGGCTTTAACAAACTACATCATCAAGCCAAGTTTGATATGAAGAGGAGGCAGTAAAACTTCCAATGTCTACCTCTTGCCCGACTATCCCACTTAGAAATAAAGCATGTTGTATAACCCCCCTGTTGTCCTAGGAGCATGCACAGCATAAAGTATCCAATGATCTTAGTAGTTTATTTTCTTCAAAAGAGTCCTAAATTTTCATACGTTTTTGTTTTAAATGAACCGAATGTGCAACGGGAACCGAGGCCAGTTTCTTACCGTTGTGCAATAAAACGCCTTTTAAACTACGCTTACTTGAGTCAATAAACAGGCGCCACTCTTCTTTTATATAGGGTACATTTCCTAATTTTGAAACTAAGTCAGGAATATTGTTGCAATACACTGGCGGTAATTCCTGAGGAAAATATTGACATTACTCTTTTTCGCGATCACGGTAAAAGCTTCGTGTGGTGCCAAGTGCCAGTAAATGCTTGTCACAAAGTCTTTACGCTAACAATTCGGTTGCATCCTCTGGGAGGTGCATATCTCTAGCTAAATCACTTAATTCTTTCTGGCCAAACACTTCGGGCTTTCTGAAATCTAGGTTGGAATTAAATTCCTCTGATTCTGACCATATGACGTTTTCTAGTTTCAGACTACTCAAGATTGGGATATACACTTTATTTCCTTAACCATTACACGAACAAAAATACCAATCATCACTGTGATTCCCTAGGCTCTCGCCATACTGTGGAACACCAGAGACATTTCTTCCTACTTTTTGCCAGTTTCTTAATGCTTCAACGCAAACGGAATAAACAGTATGAGTATATGTTCTAGAACTCTAGAAATAAGCAACAACAAAGAGAACAGCTACGAACACAGTACCACGACGACTAATACAAAAATGGCTCATAAGCAGTTTACAACGCTGTATTGACGCTTCTGCGCCAACTCTATTGCTTCAGAGAGAAATCTAATATTATCCAGCGTTGTCAGATCACAAACATATGTCATAGGTATGTATATTAATAAAGTAACATTTTTAAGATATGGGGCGCTACAAAAAAAATGACGTGATGGAGCAAAAACATGGAGTGTTTTGGAAAAGGGGCCCCCAAAAATATACAAATAAACAAACAGCTTTCAAACACCAAAATCACTGTAGACCTGTGTTATCAGAATATGTATATATATATATATATATATATATATATATATATATATATATATATATATATATATATATATATATATATATATAATACTTTATACTATACTGCACACTGGTCTCTGGTAGTATATTGATATAGCATGTAGATTAATGTAACTATGAACTTTGTTTCAACTAATTGAACGAATAAAATTAAGTGGTACAGCTGATTAAAGAGCTGCGCTGAATATCGTCCATCATGCTTATGGACATTACTCATCTTTTTAAAATAATAGGGTATATTTTTTTAAATGAGGCAATTGTTATGTATAACAAGCCGATAATTGTGATACATTCTAAATGGTGATTCCTTTAATTATTAAAAATATTAAACATTTTATTTCAAAAACTGAAAAAAATGAAGAATTTTTGCGTAACAATCCGAAATGGTAATTAAGCAAACAAAATAAATTTATTATTACCTGCTAGTATTGCTTTGTGGGCTTGGAACTCTCGACCAGCTACTGACAAGGTAACGTCGCTGAATTTCTGATTCTCAAATAGCAACCCGAGGTCGTCAGAAAGACGACACTCGGGAACTTTGAACTGTACTGTATTTGACTGTCCCGATATATTCACACTGTCGGCGACCACACTAACCTCACAAAAAATGGTCAACTTATCGTCCGGCAGCAAACCATTGGCTTCATCCAATAAAAAATCCCGTCGAATGAACTTCTTAAAGCCCCAATCCTTGCCTTGGACGAAACGATAAGCCCTCTGACTTTCCATCGCTTTGGTCTCTTCACGTTTCGCATTCAGTATACTAAATTTGAACTTCGCTCTTACTTCGCTTTTATTACATGACACTAGAAGAAGGTACAGTGACAAGTAGTCTTTGCTTTCCTCGTCCAAGCCTTTCGGGTTTACCCTTAAACACCTAAATATAGATTTAAATTACAAATTTCAATAAACGAAATGGAATGTGTAATGCTTTTACCATTTTAGTTTATCATTCGCGCCGGCGGAAAATGTTGATGACTTAAGAACCTCTCCCATTTCTTCCCGGCAAAAGCTGAAGTTGTTGATGGTCCACATGTAACTGAACTTTACTACTTTCACCTGCAGGCAATTTTTTAAGATAAAGTTGGTTTAGAACGTTGGACAGCTTACACATGCACAGGGCATAATTTAAGCACTTTCTGACAAAAATTGACAATAAAATTGAAGCAATCTATTTAATTTCTGCATAAAATTGACATTTTTGCTGATCAATGCAACTCGGAATTTAACAAAAAAAACTTCTTCAATTAAACTCTCGCAAAAACTATATTAAAATTGTGGGTTCTAGCTCTGAAATGTTTAGAGCTTTCCTTAAATTAGGTAATAAAAACATTTTCAATCCCATGTTTGTTTTAGTATCGTTTAGTGTGTTTTATCGGCGTCTACCGACCTGAGTGTAACACCAATTTTCGGCTACTGGTGTGTTAACTTCCTGGGGCGGCGGGCTGGGCACGCGGCTCACAGCCATGGTGCTGGTGGGGTGCAGATTGGAGGTAATCCGGGCGATTTGCCCGGCACTGGTACAGTCACTTACGCCTGATACCCTAAAACAAATTATATGTAATTGACATAGGTATGATAGATTATGGACTAAAAACGTGTCCAAATTTTTTTTTTAAGAAATTATATTGGTAATTACTACCATCAAACAAGAATAAACTCAAATACGGCGCAAACCATTTACATTGAGTGATTTGATCATTATAACAAACTAAATGATTTGGTAATAATTTTTTTTTCTTGCACTGCATGGATCAAAACCAATCTCTTTCTGTATCTTCAAAAGATGTGCTATTTTCGCAAATCATTAACAAGTTGTTATTAAAGAATGTCTAAAGGCGAATCAAAACAATCAACAATCAAAACGCCTGTCCTCGGTGTTATACATATTTTTATCTATGCTCTGCTTGACATCCTTTGGTACCTACCAAATACGTCTTCGAATCGGTCTTAGCATTATTAATTAAACTCATATAGCTATTAGATATTATAGTGGCTCTACTACGCTTAATATAGGCAGCATTGATATTTTTTGCACTTTGCACTGTTTTCTTCTAAACCACTTCCACACACTTGTCTAACTTGTGTAATCTAGTCTTTAACCAATCATCCTACCGCATTCAACAACCAATGTGGCCGCTGACAGATCGTCAACAAGTTTGGATGAGATATTTTCAAGGCAGTATTTTCTTAAAATATGTTAAGATCACTTTAAATCTTCAGGCAAAAAGGAATAATAATAATAATAATAAATAAAATAATAATAGAAATAAAATAGCGCAAAGTGCAAGTTAGTGCGTGATATATAGAGGCACGCGCGGAGGATCATTTCCATCTCTACGAAAATATCACAGTCATCTAATGGTGTACGTGATCGCGTAGAACTCCGTAGCTTCATTCGAATCATTTTTGCTTAAACTTCATCTTTCGCAACTTGTAAATAATAGTCACGTGTCATCAAACCAACGGTAAATCGAAAAAATATCGTTGGTTGACCTTTTGTGTAAAGACATCACGTGGGTTGGCTGCAAAGGCCTAAAAATATTTCGCCGTCGTCTAGTAACATTCACGTTCTCGCAAAGCGCTTTTGTGCAAAAGCGTTACGCTAACATAACTATAAAACTGCCGGCCACACGTGAGCTTTGGCTTTCACCCGATCTCGCATTTTTATTATGCAAGTTTTTTTTTTGTATACTCTCATTTCTTCTTGCTCGACTCGCACAAAATACAGCGCCGTCGCAATATCAAGCGCCAAAATTATCTTAATTATTTATTTGCATTGGCAGTGTAGAAAAGTTCGCGAACGACCTTCGCAAATTTTTTCGAATAACAATTCCGACGTTATTATCATCTATTTAACGTCGTATTTTTGTTATGGATAATAACTGACATTACGCTTTAACAACGGAATTAGGTGCACAGGATTGATTGGTTTGCACTTCGTAAATTGTTAATTTCTGTCAATCTGTCAAACCATGCAACGTGTTCTTGATAAAAAAAAAACTGTAACATTTGGTTCTGAAACAAAATAATTAAAAATGTCAGCGGAATTGCGTGGACACTTAATTATTAAGTAAATAACAATTTGGGCATTTTTTCAAAAACTGTAACACTTACACCCGCAACAACGCTCCCAATGCACTCGCCGCCGAGATCTTATTCAAAAGTGAGAGGCAGAACGAAATTTGGGTTAGAGAAAATTAAATCTATCGCAACCGCGATCCCGATTTCTCGGTTCCGCCATACCTAAAGGTGATCGAGTCGACTGCTTCGTACTACTCACCTAGGTAGAGCCATATCGGAGCAAACAATGGTCTGCCCACTGTAACGCACATTTATGTAAGCATACAGAGCAAAACTATCTAGAGCCACAAGAAACTGGACAATAATGGTGGGTTTTGAAGGCGGGCATCTCGTCGGGAAACAACCGAATCGTGATTTTTCCAAAGATGGCCTTCGGTTCGGCCGTAGTATCACAGAAAAACTCCGCGCAGCGAACGAGCCAGCCAGCCAAGGGCAAACTGCATTCTACAACTCCGCAGTTCTCACGAAATTGACTGCACGGCGACTGATTTCTGCCGTCGAGTAACGTTGATACACTCCGTGTGCGATAGGGATCGCGCGCGGGGTTGCCGTAACCTGCTCCAGCTTTTTCCTTGCCTCGGTACTTTTTGAAATGAGAACTCTATGCAATGATTTTTGGGACAAAGGTCCGACTAATTTTTCATTAGTCAAATGCGCCAATCCCAATTTTTCAAATGGCGAAATTAATTTTTTTTTCTACTGCCGTCTGTACAATACCTAATTACCCACCGATCTAGTGTGCGGGAAGCGTCGCTTTACCACGTCAGTTTCGTTTCCCACGAATCCGAGCCACTTCGGACATTTCCAGGATTTTTCCGCACGGGTTTTGGAGCAATCGGATGTTTTTCGGAGATATTTCCCACGCTTTGAATTTTGGCGTTTGTCAATTCTTACAGTCATGCCAGTGAATGTATTCGTGTTTTGCGAAAATGTACCCAAAAAGCAACGGTCGTAGAAAAAGTATAGTATGCAACAATGCAACACGTTCGGTAAACTTTTTAACTCACTCGTTTATTAAACACTCGCTCCGCTCGTGTCAAATAAACTCGTGAGTCAAATGCCGTTTACCGCACTTGTTGCATAATATACTATTTCAGCATAGTATGATTTATTCAATGCACTGATATATTATTTAGCTAGTGACTTTTAGGCATAATTACAAACGAAAAATGATACACACAACAACACTAGTTGAGGTAACAAATACAATTACAAACATAATGCTATTGATTGCGGGCTCGCCATCAGGAAGTCTTCACCAGGAGCTGTTCTAGGGCAACCTTATAAAATGTGTTACATTTTCGATTTCACGAAATTTGCGTAAGGGCATCTTTCCCCCTCTATGCGGGCAGTAGGTGCATTCTATTCGGTGTTGACCAATTTTATGTTTTTGTGTTATACATGTTATTTGAGTATATCGCCATTAAACTTCGTGTATGGGTTTGGCTGCTGAGAATCTACCTATATACTCTCATAAGAGCGTTTTCCCGGAGTAATCTTGATTGTGTTATTGAGTTGTACATCCATTCTATTGACATAAGCACTGTTAAGCCAAACTATCGCTCACAATATTCAGCTGCAGAAAAAGTGCAGAGCTGGTGAACGTAAAATAGTGGCCAATGCTTCCTGTAGTTCCACAGATCTTTTCAATGATATTGCTTCTGGTTTATTAATTTATTTTCCGTTTTCGTTATGTGCTTTTCAAATGAAAGAACTCTATCAAGGGTCAAGCCTAGATATTTTGGTGTTTTGTTGGGTACATTTCCTCTTCTGAAGAAAATTAGTACCTGTCTTCGACAAAACAGATACCAAAGGCGCATCATCAGCAAGGCAATCAATAGATAACAACAGCCGCAGCAGAGAGTGCAGGACGAGACCCAACAAAGATCGATCACTGTCCTGCCATACATCAAGGGGGTTACTGACAAAATCCGCCGAATATTACGGAAACACGACATATCAACGGCATACAAACCTGATCATACCATCGGAGCAATACTAAGAAACCCAAAACAAAAAATTACTCTGGAAAACCAAGGAGTATACAGTGTAGCATGCGGATCGTGCAGCATGACGTATGTGAGACAGACCAACAGAAGGATCTCAGCCAGGCTCGAGGAACATCGTTTAACCATAAGAAACAAACAAACAACATCTGATTTGTTTCAGCACCAACATCAGACAGGCCATAAAATTGATTTCGGTACTTGCAAACAAATAGCTAATATTCCTGATTTTAGGACTAGGATTATACGAGAGGCCATCGAGATAGAAAAGTCCAGACACCTGAATACGAGAGACGACGCTCTGCATTTATCCAATACGTGGAGAACGATAATCAAACAGCAGAGCGATACATATATATATATATATATATATATATATATATATATATATATATATATATATATATATATATATATATATATATATATATATATATATATATATATATATATATATATATATATATATATATATATATATATATATATATATATATATATATATATATATATATATATATATATACATATATATATATATATATATATATATATATATATATATATATATATATATATATATATATATATATATATATATATATATATATATACATATATATATATATATATATATATATATATATATATATATATATATATATATATATATATATATATATATATATATATCGTACTTGCGATGTCCCCGTTGGCTGCTGCGTATCGCTCTGCTGTTTGATTATCGTTCTCCACGTATTGGATAAATGCAGAGCGTCGTCTCTCGTATTCAGGTGTCCGGACTTTATATATATATATATATATATATATATATATATATATATATATATATATATATATATATATATATATATATATATATATATATATATATATATGTATATATATATATATATATATATATATATATATATATATATATATATATATATATATATATATATATATATATATATATATATATATATATATATATATATATATATATATATATATATATATATATATATATATATATATAAATGTACTATCCGGACCACTGCGACAGGTACTTGTCAAAAAACGCCTGGCCTGGAAAGTTGCATAACAGCCTGTTGCAACAGGATAATGCAAGTCCGCATTCCGCAAGAAATACGAAGGATGTTTTGAATGATTTAGGGTGGGAATTGCTTTCGCACTCACTTAATTGGAGTGATTATTACTGTTACCATATTTGAAAAAAACCATTACGGGGTATTTGATTTGAAGGTTTAACTGATGTACACATACCATAAATACACTGAAATAGAAAAATTAGTTTATAGCTGGGATAAATGTAAAAACTACACTGTAATATTGACGAAACTTAACAAAAAAAACTTTGGAAACATCATCGTAAAATGGATTTTATACTATTTACTTATTAATTAAACGAGGTTACCTTCCTTTCCCTTACTTTCTCGAATACATTTCGTTCAAAAATGTCGAAAACGCGCTAACCCAAGCATCCGACGGAAAGTTTCCATGGGACAGGAATTACCGCACAAACCGGCAATATCGTCGAAAACAAACGTGAAAGCCCTACGATCGGCGCAGCTCGGTTAAAACGAGGTCCCTCTCTCTATCACCGTGTCTTTCGCTCAATAAAACGCTCCCCAGATTCTGATGTTTTCAAATTTGGATCACGTTATCGCCCAATTGTGCAGAATCTATTACTTCTTGTTATGCGAAAATTTGAAGCAGTAAATTACTGATAACGGCCAAAATTAACTAATATACAACACGAGATGGAACAAATAATTGGCCAATTTTTAATATAGAAGTTTATTCAAAAATTAAAAGATATATGTAATTAGCACAATGGAACTTATTGAAAATAATTTGTCAGAAATCCGAACTTTACTGCAATAAATAAACAAATGTATTTGACACTTTGTGCGGTTGGGACAATGCTTGACTTTAGTCATTGAGCAAAAACTGCTTTTTAACACCAACGGTTTGATCATTACCTTTAAATAAAGGAAAACCGATAGCGATACCGATATGCCTAAAGAAAAATATATTTACATAAGAATGAGAATCTCATGTAAAATCATTTTAGTATAATTCTTCTCATTTTTTTATAGATTCTTAGTAATGCCAAATACTAATATTTCAAACTTAGTTAAAGCAGTCTATATGTTGTCTTAGAAGTTTAGGACAATTTATCAGCACAAAGTCCTATGAAAACGTTGTATTTGGTCAACGCTGTAGAATATTAGCCAATTTAATCTTTATAACATATATTTGCTAAGGGAATAAATAATATGACTTACAGTGTGACTCAACCAAATTGGTATAGCAGCGTCAAGCAAGTCAAATCCGACGGTTCACTTCTGGCATTGGCATCATCCAAGTTTTTTCTAATCGCTCTGGATTTTACACACACGAACAAAATTTATCCGGAAATGTATCACTCACTCCACAGACATTACAAATGTGGCGCCACTAAGGTTGTTTTGTACAAGGGAACTTAAAAGGGTCGTAAAAGAATTAAAAACAATAAGAACATCAACAACTATATAAATCTTACATATGGTTTTAACCATTTTTTAGGAAATTGACAAGTCAATTGTCAAAGAATAATCAAGTTTTGATCTTTGCGTAACTAATGGAGAGTGATGATGATTTTGTCCTAAATTTATGAAGGAAGATTGGTTTTGACTCGTTCAAATAATTGTTAACTGAAAATGTTCCTAGGAAATTTTACATGTAATTTGCACTGACAGAGTGTATAGGTGGCTGCCACCCGCATTCAATAAAATTTATCTTTGTTAGTTAAGTCACGAAAGAAGAAAAAATTTCCTGGAAATATTGGGCCTATACAAGTAAAAGAAGAACAAGTTTTGCTTTTTGCAGCTTAACCCCGCTTATGTTTAAAAATTAAAAGTAAATATAATTGAGTTATGGTTTTAGTACGATTTGAGTAAAATTTATAGAATATTTAATAGGATGAGAAACTTTAGTCTTCTATAATACGTAGTAATCTATTCACGTCTGATGGCCACTGCACATAAGAGAACAATTTATGTGGGTGGCTTGGCTGAGGAAGTCGACGAGAAGATTCTAAAAGCAGCGTTTATCCCATTCGGGGACATAGTGGACATACAAATGCCTCTGGACTATGAATCTGAAAAGCACAGAGGATTTGCTTTTGTCGAGTTTGAAAGTGTTGAAGATGCTGCAGCAGCCATAGACAATATGAATGACTCTGAACTATTCGGTCGAACCATTAGGGTTAATATAGCCAAACCTCAGAAGATAAAAGAGGGTTCTACAAGGCCTGTATGGTCAGAAGATTCGTGGTTGCAAGAGCATGCTGGTGAGACAATCAAAACCAGCCAAGTTTCAGGATCAACAGAAACTACTGAAGTTACTAAGGAGTCCTCTGCCCCCATTCAGAAAGTGAAGAATCCTCAAGTTTATTTTGACATTCAAATAGGCAAAACTGAAATAGGTAGAATAACCATCATGCTTCGCGCTGATGTAGTACCACGTACAGCAGAAAATTTTCGCTGTCTGTGCACTCATGAAAAAGGTTATGGATTCCAAGGCAGTACTTTTCACCGAATAATTCCTGATTTTATGTGCCAAGGAGGGGATTTCACAAATCACACTGGTACTGGTGGTAAATCCATATATGGAAGGAAATTTGCAGATGAAAATTTTGAATTAAAACATGTAGGAGCTGGGACTTTATCGATGGCCAATTCAGGGCCTAATACAAATGGATCTCAGTTTTTTATTTGTACTTCAAAAACGGAATGGCTTGATGGCAAGCACGTCGTTTTCGGCCATGTTATAAGTGGAATGGATGTGGTGAAAAGGATGGAAAGGTGTGGTACAAAAAATGGAAAGCCAACAGAAAAGGTTATTATTTCTGCATGTGGTGAGATTCAGTAATAATACTTTGTGTTTACGCTAGTTCCAATTATAAAATGAATTGCGTAAACCAAATAAAAAATTTTCTTTGTTATTTCTATAATGGAACATTTCTTTTTGTAAACTTAGAAAATTCTTATAGACTTGTATAAATTAAATGTATAATCAAGAATTAATAGTTTCCTTGGGCTAGGGTTACAGTACAATCGATTTCGCGCGAAATTGCTATCAAACCTACACAAACAAATGCAGGTAGTTACCCTACATGCGAATTAGTAGCTCTAATCGCTGCTTTTCGCTAGAAGTTCAAACAGGTTTGTTTTTTTCGCGCGAATTGAATGCGTTCGCGCGAGCCTTGTTCAATCGTCTAAACAGTGATTATCAGAGATATTTTCGCTATGGCCAGTGAAAAATCCTCAAGCAAAAAACAAAAAACTCTGCGACCGAAATTCCGCAAAATGCGGAAATGATGTCCAAAAGTGGATACTTGCTTCAAAAAAAGAAAATCTATTTTTTTTTTTAAATAAACAAAAGTGGAAACAGGTATACAAAAAGATTATGACTACCATCCCGTGTCCTATGCTTCAATGAAACTGATAAAATCGCTTTAAACCGCGCTAATTTTAGAAACAAAAGAAATCATTGCTTGGTGGCGCGAGTACGCGCATATACGCGGGAATTGTGATTCGCACGAAACGCTTGCACTGTATCCGTAGCCTTAGGCCCATTTAAAAAAAAAAGACAGATAAACACTATGAATAATGCAGAGAAGAACTATGAGAGTTGCAGGAATCGGTTGCCCATTGAGTAACCAAACTGGAGATGATGCTGTCAAAATTTCGGTGATGTCAAAAAGTGAAAACAATATAAATAAAAGTTATGTCTATATGTGTTTAATTTTTTTACTTGATATATTAGTGATATATTTAAAAAGTATTTCGGTCGATTTTTGACAAATTCTTAAGGCCATGTTAACAGATTGCAGCTAGTTCGTCGCATCCAACGAAAAATTTCTTATCAACAGATAAAAATAAGGTATCGAGTTTCACAGCCTCGCTTCAGTATTTTTACTATTGCCAGATTAAGCGGGGTAGCGGCAAAGACTTTCGGCGTAACAGTTAGTTGTTTGTTAAGATTATTGCCTTCAGTTATGGCAGACAAAGAAGACGCTGCTCTGGGACGAAAGAAATATTACAGGCATGCAACTCAAAGGTACTGTTTATTTTCATAAGATTGATAAAATGTATTGTTTTGGTATATCAAGTACTAGATTGATATGTGCTTATTATCTCCAGTTCGGAAAATGCAACTGTTTAATTGTATTTTTTGTGTTACCATATTCTATATTTTGATGATTATGACAGATTTGTTTTAAAATTTTGACGTCAGCGTTATGGCAGTGATATTTGCTGTATTTATATTAGATTACTTCCACAGTCTTAATCCTTATTTATTGGCAAATCCGGGAGATAACAACTATTCTGCCAAATTGCACAATCTTGATGGGATACTGACCTTAGTGTTGTTTATCAAAGAGGTCATTATCTTGCATCACAATCCTGTGCGTAACAAAATTGTAATCAGTGTCAAAACATTCCTTTTACTAAAATCATTACAATCTTTAAAATGACGGAAAGTGTACAGTATAATGGTTTTTCCGAGTTTTTAAATCCCCTTGAGGAAATGCGTGGTCGAGCCTACAGCATGGCTGATATGGAGTATTTTTCTAGTGGAGATCCAGCTTCTCGAAAACGCGAAAGTGCGACGCATAGGTAAAATTATTTTTGATTTGCTTCAATTCACAGAGTTCAAACCCTTGTAAACCCTTTTAATAAACCAGAGATATATTTTTGATAAAATTTTATTTTACAAGGCCATAAAACATCAGATTCGCAAAGTATGTTTTTTTTGTTTAGGTAAAGTGTTGAAATAGGAGTCCATCCCAAAATCGCATTAAATTAATTTTTGCAGTTTTCGGTGTATACGACACGGGGCACGCTTTACGAAAATATTTTTACATGGCTCAAATTTATACAAGCAAATTAATTTTCTAATATTAGAAAACATTGGTCATCCGATGTATAAATGTATTCATACGCGCATTTTGAAATTTGCTACGGTAAATTCCAAAACTATATTTTGACGAAATAAATCCATACAACATACACGTATCGCGTAGTGATAAATCCAAAATTACATGAAGGTTTTGCGAAATATTGGCATGCCATTAGTTTGTGCCGTTCTTGTCACGTATGGCAGTGACGTCGAGTTTGATACATTTGCTAATAATTTCGGTGCTCGCAATGTATTATATGTTGCTAAAATGCCTTTAAATCCTTAAGTAGATAACTATTCTCGCGGCAGGATTTGGTAGAAGTACCCACACCGCGGCCACGGATCGGTACCCATTCATAACTCGACATTCATAGGCGTGTGCACGGTGCGTGTGTAAGGTGTATAAAAACGAACTGGTAGCACACAGACATACATACAGTGTTAGGCATTTGGCGTACTAAAGTTTGCGTTTACATTAGGAATTTGAAGGTTAAGTGGCGACGGATAAAATTTGAGGATGCGTTTTAGTAACAATCTTAATGGCTTCGATGCTAGGGATGTGCCCCTAAACGAGTGAGTTTTGTACCGCGGCGATTGTATTATCTTGTTGTCGTTTACTTAATGTACCCCTCTAATTAAAAATGATAAATAACTTAAACGGGAACGTAGTTAAAATATACCCAAGCAGTAAAATATATTACTTTTTGTTGAAATTTTGTATCCGTTATCTTTCTCAGTAGGATTTATCGACTTAATACTTATTATGGATGAATAAAAGTTTAATCGCATTGATCAAGTGGATGCCCGCGAAACAAAAGAGGGCGATCCATTTATTTTATTTTATTTTTTGAAATCCATTTTGGACGCTATTTAACCAGGTTCTGGAATATTTAAAAAGGGCAAAACCTGCTTCAAATCCAGCGATGTCAATTCATCCGAACCCAATGGCAACATTGAAATTTCAAATTGAACATATTGCCCACGGATATGCATATTAATGAAATAATACATAATCAGGATCTACACAAAATAACTGAATTTTCATACCCTACGGAAAAAAAATGTAATGTCTTTTTTCCTACGTTATAAGGATGCAAGGCTAAGGGTATAAAATAAAACGGACTGTTTTTGCAAAAATTTAACAAAAAATGTGTCTGCTTTCACACTCGTATTTTAAAATGAAATTGAGAATCCTAAGTTATAGAAAAATATATTTATTTTGTGTGTGCAGGGCGTACTGATAAATTGTAGTTTCTTATTATATCGACTGTTTTCTACAATTGCGATCCAGATGCATAGGCATTATGCACATCACTGTTTTCAAAAATTCCCAGATATTAACAAAAGTTGTTTAGAATTTTATGTAGAAGCTGAATCTGCATCAAAATTTAAGAAACGTTACGACTTGATATAGCCAGATAGATCTTTTAGATCTGGAAATAATATGATTCACCCTGTACTTAAGCGATGGCATTAAAGACAAATATTTAATACAGGAAATGATTAACATACAATTTTTTTTTCATATTTAAGGAATGAAAATAATTAATAATTATATAATAATGAACCCAATTTTCATTTATAATATCCACGTTTATTACGTTATTGATCAAGTAAGATATATCATGAAATGCTCCTGTATAATTTTTGACAGGTGTGCCAACGCTGTGGGCGCCAAATTCATTTACAAATATATGTTAATGCGTTAATTTAAATAGTTAAATCGCTACATCGCACCGGCTACAGATGGCCCAATTTTGAAATTTGGTTGTTGCCATAATTAACGGTGTTATGCACATAAATTAACTCACATAACTGTCTTCGTGGAAACGCCCACTGTACAGGGTGTTTCAAATTGGACTCCCACCGCATTGGGATCTCGGAAACGGTAAGAGACGAAGACACAAATTAATGAAAATTTGCATATCGCAGTGAAAGATCATCATTAGATCAAGGGCTCTAGTTGGGTTCAAGAAACTGGGATGTTTTTAATACTTTCACAAATAGGACTTTAAAATTTTTTATCTATAACTACTCAAGAATAGCGTCGTGCATTATCAGCTACTCATTTTTCACTGAAAAACATTGCATTATAGCACGCGGACGGCCAAAATTTTGTGTAAAACTGTCTTATGATAGTTTAATGACAATTATTGAGACACAGGAAAAAAAGACGCCCAACTGAAATAACAAACTTAACACGTACATTTGTAAGATCTATATTATTGTTTTACTTAATGCAAAAGTAAGCTGCAGTATTTGAATATATTTATTCACCAAATTTTCCACATTCTACAAGAAGGCTTAATAATCTACCTATCTATTTATCTAGAAATAATTTTGGTGCTAATTTAATTTTTTTGAAAGAAGTTAAAGCCAAACTGTTCCCTTACCATTTCCAAAAGCGAGAGTCAACCAGCAAACAAAAAACATAAATTTACCATTGTGCTGAACTTGATGGCGACATTTCCATTTCAAAAAATTTTAGTTTTGATAATGTGATTGTCACACAAAATATTGTTATTCTAATTATATATTCAACTACTGTTAATTTTTCGCCTATTCGTTAAGGCACACTTTGACTTAATTGCGATTAATTAAAAAATAATAACATATTTATAACAAATTTGAGAATGTTGAGTTGTCATATAAAAATATATGTAGGTATATGTATTGCATTCTTTCAACCTCTAAACATTTTGATGAAAAACGGTCTTTTGCTGAAAGGTAATTTTGTTAATAAAATCTAATGGTAATTATTGATTAATATTAAAGCCAAAATGATAAAAGATCATCGTTTATTAAAATTTAAATTGTCACTAATTTGTTAACGTTTCCTATCGGAACATTCGTTAGATCCTGTCGCAAGCAAATTTTAAAATATTTCCCCTACTCAAATCATTGTATACATACTTTAGTGAGCGGTAAGGTGGAAGTGCTTAATTTATAATAATCATGGGATACTTAGTCATATTTTTCTGGGGACACTGCCAATGTTATAGTACAGGTCGCGATGTACTTGTAAAGAATCATGCGGTATCTTTTGCGTTTGCAGAATATTCGTCAACCGGAGCCTTCACTTGGAAAATATCAAGTTCTATGGTTTCGATATGGATTATACCCTCGCAGGTAATTCGGCATTATTGCAAGTGACATGACATGTAAAATATGCGTTTTTTCCCTGTAGAATACAAATCTCCCCATTACGAAAAGCTTGGCTTCGATTTAGTAAAGAAACGCATGGTATCGATCGGCTACCCTCAAGAAATTTTAGAATTTGAATATGACCCATCTTTTCCGGTCAGGTAGGGAAATTTATAAAACGACTCGAGCGGTAGTTAATCTGTCCAATACTGAATTTCAGAGGTTTATGGTTCGATACACTCTATGGCAATCTTCTAAAAGTAGATGCCTACGGGAATATTCTAGTAGCCGTTCACGGATTCGAATTTCTCAAACAGTAAGCATTCTCTCTCTAATTATATCACTAGAACAGCGCGAGTATAAATTCTATGCCTCCTTTTAGCTCACGAATTTACGAATTATATCCGAACAAGTTCATAACGCTCGACGAGTCTAGGGTATACGTTCTTAACACATTGTTCAACTTGCCGGAAACTTATCTGTTGGCTTGCCTCATCGATTTCTTTACGAATTCGCCTGAATATTCAAAAACCGACACCGGTGTGAAATGTGGGGAGCTCCTCATGTCTTACCAGTCGATATTTCAGGTAAACTTCACGGTTTACCTGCGAACATGTAATATAAACCGCCAAATCGCATTTCAGGATGTCCGAAATGCAGTCGACTATGTGCACATAGGTGGAGATCTGAAGCAGTGCACCATTGAGAATCCGCAAAAGTATGTGAAAAAAGATGATCGCCTGCCGATGTTCTTGACGCGCCTGCGCGAAAGCGGTGCTAAGACGTTTCTGCTCACTAACAGCGATTACAACTTCACCGATAAAATTATGACATACCTTTTCGATTTTCCGCATGGGGCAAAGGTATGTACGAGGTGAGCGCCAAATTTCCTAGGCTTGAATTAAAAAAAATGTTTTTATTAGCGTTCAACAAAATATTCAATCGCTTTGAAAAAATTCATTTAGTTTCCTGAAAAATACGCTATATGTTGTGGTATGTGGGGAGTATGATCGATCTATGGGCACTAAATATCTTATGCCTAAAGGAGGCACGACAGTTAAACTGGCAGCCAACACGTGGCGATGGCGTGGATTTTCCATGAATTGGTTCAATCACATTGTACGTGGAAATGTCAAAGCTTTCAGTCTATTAGTCACTAAAAATGTGATTTACCTACTGAAACTGAAGTTAGAATGATCTTAACTGGTTATTCGTCACACTAAACAATGCAAAACCATTTTCAATAACTGCCCGCAAATGTTTAAGGCTTGTCGGGTGTTTCTAATATGTCTTTGATTGGAATGATCACTGGAATATAGCAACGGTAGGAAGAAGGGTAAAAGAAACATTACTTTCTATTTTGATCAGCTATTTATCCAGTAGGTTAACCTTAAACAGTTATTGGACATTACCAAACAATATATTGCAAACCGCTTTGCTCATGGTATTTTTACCAAAATAATGGTCCCATATTGTTCAACTATACCCTTGTGAGGGTATGATGATACATTTAGAAATCTGGGGACATCGTAATTACTGTTAGAAATTGGCAATCTGTTCATCTACAATGTACTCACCTATCTATGAAAAGCACACATATGAATATTAGCCTCCAAGAGGGTTTCATCAACTTTAGTTACTCCAAATGTTTCTCAGAAGGATTTGTTCATCTGTGGCTAGATTGTATAAACTTCTTAGTAATTCTATAGACTGTCAAGTCACTACAAGACAGAATCCGTTTTTTAATTCCACATTGTCCCAATGTGACGGTCAGATCACCAATATATCATATATATATATATATATATATATATATATATATATATATATATATATATATATATATATATATATATATATATATATATATATATATATATATAAAGGTGCTTGACAGAACCATTTCTTTTGTTGAAAAAACGTTATGCCCCTTCATTCTATATCGAAGAAGAGAACTTTTATGGCAATTTCTTGGTGTCGTTTGTTCAAAATGAATAAAAAATATTTGACTCTTTTTTTTCCACGGCCTACTAAGATACATGTTTAAAAGGCAAAGTTTCATCGTGATATTGGAATTCCGTTTTATGTCAAACTGGGAAATTTTGGCCGTTACCACGGAATTAAAACCCATTCTTGATCTGATCCCTCCGCGCTACATTGACCGTCAACGAACTTTCCAGCCCGACGAACCCCACAGAAACTGGAAGACTTATTTCGATATAGTAGTGGTAGATGCGAGGAAACCTCTGTTCTTCGGCGAAGGAACGATTTTGAGGCAGGTTGACACTAACACAGGCGGACTGAGGGTCGGTGTTCATACGGGCCCACTCCAAAAAGAACACGTTTATTCGGGAGGCTCATGCGATGTGTTCACCAAATTCATAGGAGCCAAAGGGAAGGATGTGCTGTACGTAGGGGATCATATTTTCGGCGATATATTAAAGAGTAAAAAGATTCGAGGGTGGAGAACGTTTCTGATCGTACCGGAGCTAGTCAGAGAGCTGCATGTGTGGACCGATAGGTGGCAGTTGTTCAATGAGTTGCAGGGTCTGGACGTTAAATTGGGCGAGATGTACAAGTAAGTGGGGTGCGCTTGTGTATACTATCGACAACATATTTTTTCCATGTTCTATTTTTTTTAAAGGAATCTGGACAGCAGCACAAAAGAGAAACCGGACATTTCAAAATTGAGAGCGGCTATCAGAGATGTGACCCATAAAATGGACATGTCATATGGTATGATGGGCAGTTTATTCAGGTCGGGATCTAGGCAAACCTTTTTTTCTTCTCAGGTAAATTTCATACTTTCAATTCGATTAATAATATTACTTTAATTTCTGTCATTATTTTTAAATAGATTCTTTTTTTATTGAATACTAAATTAAAACTCAAGACTTGCTTTCTTCTTGCTCTCTTAAAAAAGAAACGCTTTTACTTACAAAATTCATTAGGATAGGATATCTACATTATTGTGCTTTATTATGTCGTGCCTCATTCCTGCTGCGGAATACTTTAAATGCTTAGCGCAAAGAGCAAGGATCGTATTTAGTTTCAGTTTAATTCAATCCAATTTAATTGAAAACCCTAAAAACTGTTTGTTAAAATTAAAGTTTCCGCATGTTTTTCGCGACCATTTTTTTTTTTTTTGACCAGAGACATATCGGGAACTTTTTTCTTTTAGGTTGTAAGATACGCCGATTTATATGCGGCTACTCATCTCAATTTATTGTATTACCCGTTTTCGTACATGTTTCGGGCACCCGCCATGTTGCTGCCGCACGAATCGACTGTAGCGCATGAGCAGCACTTTGTGTCAGAGTATTCCAACGATGTTGAGGAACGAAAAAATCCAAGGGTACCAAAAATAAAAATCTATTTAGTCATTTGATTACCGATTTTCTTTTTCCAAGGCGGTGTTGGAGAGAGCCCAGAGTCAAGTGCCGCATGTGAGGCCCGAAACACCTCAAACTGTCACTCATACTCACGATGAAGATTTTAGCGACGACGACAGCGACGAAAAAAATTCGTCCAAGTCAGGCGATCGAGCTTAATTGAGGTTGTTGAGGTTTTTATTTGCTCAACCTAAAGCAATTTAGATTTCAAAGAATATAAAAAATTGTGATTGAAATTAACGATTTGAAATTAGTATTTATTTTAGCGTTTGCCGACTTTGCTGCGCGCTGAAGTTTCGTGTAGGAGCATTTTTTAACATCAGTCGTTTTAGTGTTGCGCCTCGGCAAGGCGAAAATTGTGATTTTTCAAGAAAATTATAGAATTAGTATTGGAGAATGTTTTAATATATTAACGGCATTTTATTTACTGTTGCATAGCACAATGTGTAATTTCTTTTTCAAATAAAAACAAAAATATATTCATTTGTCTCAAACACTGTAGACTAACATATCGGAAGCTGGCCTTTCAATGATAACTGCTTGTTGGGCGTATCTAATTTTCCAGGTGATGATGCTTAGAAACATAAAGCCAATTTAACTATAAAGATTATGAATCGAAAATCACTTTCTCCACTCTTTTGACAATAGAACAGTGTTTCCCAACCTTTTTTGTGCCATGGCCCCAGCGTAACATTTCTAAAATTTGTATGCCCCCTATATATAATTTTTAACATTAAAAAATTGATTTGTTCACTTAAGAAACATAGGTTTTAGGAAGATGTCACTATGAAATTGCATTAAAAAAAAACAGTAAATAATTTTTTAAAACATAATAAAAAAGTAAAATTCAAATTTAAAACAATTTTAATACAGATTTTCTATATTAATTTAGTGAGATCCTTGCGCTTTAAGCTTGCTGCACAGATATTTTATATTAGGTTCCAACTTAGTTAGCTTTAATCTCAAGTCTCCACGTTGTGTTACATCCAGGGGATTTCTTTTTTTTATTAGTAAATCATTTACAGCACTAAATCCACACTTGGCTAAATATGACCATGGAAAGGGTAGTAAAAATTGTCTTGCATTTTTGGATGCATTGGGGTATTTAAGGTTTCTTCACAAAGCCATTTTTTATATTTTTATTAAATAAAATTCTTACTGTCTCATAATTTTGCAATTTTGGGAGTTCTTCTTGACACTATATTTGATATATCAGAAAAATCCACTAATATTAGCCGCATCATCCATGTTGGGAAATCAATTTGTTTTAAATCAGAAAGTCAATGATTTACAATCAAATGAATATCGACACTACTGACAGTATCAAATAGTTCCATAAATCTTTTCATTCAACCAGTTTCCTTTAGATAGCCCTCTTACTTCCGTATGAAGTAAAAGTCTCACAGGTTTTAATTTTTCTCTTCACAAAATAACTTGAAAAGACTAGCTTTAATGGCATTAACACACTTTTATTACTGCATGTAGTACTTCATTTAGAACGGGAGAGATATTTTTGGCTACCAATTTTTCCCTATGAATAAGAATGCACAAGAATCATTTCTGAATTCCCAGCTTTCATCAATTTGAAGCAGACAGACATTTTCTAGCCCATCATATTAGGAGCGCCATCTGCAACACAAGATTTTTCATTGATATATCATTGATATCTAAGTAGTTTTTTAATTTATTATTTATATCTTTCGAGGTAGTCGTGCCTTATAACAACATTTCTTCACCAAAATGTCCTTCCTCAATATATAGTTATCAATATCGCCTCACTGCCTGTCAAAGTTGATTCATCCATTTGTGCTAAGAATTTTTTTGTTTTCAGCTTTTCAACAGGTTGTCTTTCAATATCTTCGATTGTTCCGTCTATTTTTCTGCTAACAGTATTCTTAGTGAGTGGCATAGCTTCTAAATCTTTGTCTTTCCAGAACCGTTTTAAGAAATGATGATATTGTTTTATCAAATTCCCTCTTTTTTCCAGTTTTGGCAATTAATAAATTTTATAGCTGGCCTCAGTATGACGATTATTGGTTGAATTACGAGCAGTAAATAGAGACCGGTAAGGTTGTTCTTTTTTCAAAATTTTTCTTTACACTTTTAAAGTAACTCAAATCTGAATTAATATGAGCAGTATGTTAAGCCTTCAAATGCGCCTCAAGACGTCCTCGTTTCATTAATTCGTTGGTCAAGAATTGCTCGCATAAAAGACAAAAAGGTATGTGCTCATCCGTGAACAGCGGGTATGAAACCAAACTTTAAATATTCCTCCAAATATTGACGAATTTTTTTAAACTAAATAAAAATATGATAACATATGTGATATAATGAATTCAATATGACAGAGTAAAGGTATACTAAAAAAAACATATTTATTTAAATTTATATAAAACATTAGCCACATTTTTTCCAATTTTCTGAAAAGTTAAATGTTTCTAAAATTAAAATAAATAGAAATAAAATCAAATACTCACCAATTATATCTATAAATATATTTATTAAATCAACTGATAGACACTCATTCAAATTAACACCAACTGAATGATGTGTGAAACACTACAAAAGTTGAATTGGACCGGTTAGGTGCGGACAACAGTGTTGTTTAGCGACTTTTAAAACATCCGGGGTTCCCTACGGCAAGCGACTCATTCTGCGGTAAATCACCGACGAAGTTTACTTGACGACTCTAATCACCCACTTGATATGTTAGTAACGTCAAACGAAATTATATCTAATAATTATTTACAGCAATTTTTTATGATTTTGCATTACCTTTAAATAGCCCCTAGCGAAAGTATTAAAGTTGTGTCAAGTGTATTCTGAAACGCAATAGGCACAACCACAGCCATCCCGGTGTGGATTGGGTGAACGCTGTTCTTGAGTATTCTCGCTGAGCAATCTTGGATATTGGCATTACCCTTTTTATCCCGATACTACTAAGTGAATGTTTTCGAGTATTGTGCGAGGAGTACTAGTAAAAGATCTTTAGGTATTGTCGTAACTGTCCATTTTGGGTTAATGCTCATAAATAAAGTGAACGACGCGTCATCCCCTTGCGTTAAACAAATTAAATGCTTAATGAAAACGTATATATCATTTGTAGTCGTTTAATGTCATGAAAGTCATAAAAAAACTAGCAGAAGATCTATTTTGATTTGCCTTTGATTTGTTTGACAAAACTAAATAAATGTGACAAATCGTATATATTTTCCATTAATTTGGTTTATAGGCTCAGTAAAGACTGAAAATGTCTTTTTTCACTACTGACTTATTTTTACTGAACATAAACTTCACTGCTTACTGTAAATCGGTTACTTTTTGCTTCCTTTACCGCTGCTGCTGCTGCTGCTACTACTAATACTTCTCGATCTCGACGTTTTCTTCTTTGGCGTGGACGAGTGTTGATTCGAATCTAACCTATCCCCACGGCTTCTACTTCTTTTTGACCTCGAGGTACTTCGAGATCTCGAACGACTTTTAAACCGATTCCGCGAGTAGCTCTCTGGAGATTTCCTTCTTAGGCTGTCGAAGCTTCGAGATTTTGATCGCCCCCCTTTTTTCTGCTTTTTCATACTCTTGGCGATCACCCGCTTTTGGTGGTCTAGTTGGGGGAACAAGTCTAAAACAAAATGACATTAACGCAGTATCTGCCAATTATTCAAACTTTGCGCTGTCACTTACGGTGTGATATTTCCAAAGCCTTCTTCGCCGCGTTCATTTCCGCTTGCTGGATACTGTGACCCATCGCGCTTGCCAATCTCCTACCCCTGAAATATACGGCAACCGTGTAGACCCGAGTGTTAGTGGGACCTTTGCATTCTATAACCCTAAAATTGAAGAAAGCATTGTTCATTATAAGACTGCGCACTAAAATAAGACAACAATTACTTATAAACGGGAATATCTGGTTCACCCCCGTCCATGGTTCGTAGAGTAAGGCAACACTGCTGCAATTTAGACTTGGGATCATTCCAATCTTGGTTCATTATGAAGTCTTGCAACCTCGGGAACAGAGTCACTTGGCAAAACACCTCGCAATATTCCATTCCCTTGTCCACGTAAAGAGCGCCGATAAAAGCTTCCAATAGATCGGCCCTGTCTTTAGTTTTTAATTCTGGCTTTGGGTTGTTATAGATGGCATATTGGGCCATGCCCAAGTCGTCGCACACAACAGCCTGTGTTCTGTTGTTTACCAGAGAACTCCTCAACAACTGAAACGCACAAATATCTAAATGATATTTGAACTTGATTGTATGTATACACAAAACACGCTTTACAAACTAAACAAATACCGACACTGATTCAAATCACTTCCTAGTTTACACCTAAATACTTACTGACAAATGACCTTCATGGTGTTCGGGAAAATACTTGTACAAGTACTCGGATGCGATTAACTGAAGTACAGTGTCTCCTAGAAATTCTAATCTTTGATTCGAGCCCATCGTAAGGTTCGTGTAACCCACGCTGCGATCGGTAAAAGCTCTAGCTAGCAAGCGGATGTGATTAAACTCTACGTTGATGGCTTTTTCAAAGCCAGTTAATTTTTGAAGAATTTCGAATTTTTCAATCCAATGTCGGTCGCCGTGAGGCTCCTGTTCTTGCAACGGGTGTAGCGGCAACCCTTTCCATACTTTTAGTAGTTCGGGCTCGTCTTGGTACAAAGTGTTAGAAAACACTTTATCCGCCACGTCGATGCCGCCATCCAAAAAGAGGGCACCCATAAGGGCCTCGAAGCAGTTCGCCATGGCGTGTTTTAACTCGAGATCGTGACACAAATCAGATCCATGAGCGTAGAGCATGAATTGATCTAGATTCAGTATTTTAGCTAACAGAGCTAAATGCTGATTTTGAACAATAGCGGCCCTATATGTAGCCAACCCACCTTCCTCGAGGTCAGGAAATGAAAAAAATAGGTGAATAGAAGACAAAAATTCGACAACTGCATCTCCCAAGAACTCGAGGCGTTCGTTGTGCGTTATGTTGGATTCGGTCTCTTGCTGTCGGCCGAATCTTGACATTATGTTTATAAGAGTATTTATACCTAGAATAAAAATACAGAAATAAGACTTGAGACTAAAGTGTATATATTTTACCTCTTTTTCTAGTATTCATATAATGAATTCTCCTATCTCCATACTCTGGCTGTCTAATACCACAGTTGGTCAAGCTATTTCTTGCGTGATCTGGGTTTGTACCGAAATTTTGTCTGTATGATGGGTGCGTTAAAGCAATTTGTAACAATCCACGATTTTTAAACTTGTATTCTATCGACTCTTCCAATACATTGAGAGCATTATGAAATCTCAAGTGACATATGAGAACAGGAATGAGCATAGCGTGCTGCACAATATCGCACATAATCCCGGTCCTGTAAAAACCTTCCGCGGAAACAGCTATGGTGACATCCCGTTTCATCTTGCCCTGGGTGCGTATCTCTTGAAGCTTGCCCTCTTTTGCTTCTAGTTTGCGTTTGTCTTCGAAAGTCGGCTTGGACATATTCGCTATAAGATGTCGATACTTTACATATTCCCTCCACGCTTTTTGATATTCTGGATTGCCAGCGTAGCTTAACTGAGGTGGTCGAATACCGAAATGGACGATTTCCGGGAACTTGTAGTCTCCCTCCTTTTGAAGATCGATATTTCTATCTAGTTGGTCCACACGTACTGAACTGGGCTTCTTGCCCGGGTAAGTAACCACCATTCCCTTGATTTCGTCAGCAAAATGTTGCCACTCATACTGGGACATCTTGACCATGGTTTTTAGATCATTTTTTTGTATCAATGGTACTGAACAGTTTAACAAATATTGGAGCACCACCTCCATGCAAAGAATTTCCTTGCCGTTTTCGTTGAGTTCTCTAACGAATCTGGGCATGTAGTGGAACTGAGAACAGTATTCGCTATCTTTAGGGGTGGTTAAATCTAAATCGATCAACTCCAACACTTCACGGAATAAATACTCTGTAAACATATCTAATTCGCAGACAGTAAAGTTATCTGGGATTTTTTCTTCTAAATACATGATGGTGTACTCTATGTTGAATCTGATTACTTTGCAGTGGGGTAATTGAACAAGCGGCGCATGTGAGAATATTGAAAATCCTTCAAATATAAACTCGTGTTCGTCATGTTGTATTATGGTGGGAGCCTTAATAAGGAAATTTGTCGGAGGCGATATTATGATCCTGTAATGATAAAGTCGGTCGGCGTTATTGCTATGAGGGTTGCACTTGGAAATATTTTTTTCGCCAGGATAAATCCCATGTCTTATACCCGATTTCTTCGACTTAAAGGAGCACCGACATAATGGACCATCGTTCATTTCTCCTGGATCGTTATACCTACGAGTGGTTTAAAAAGTGTCTTTTTTACATTTTAAAAGATATGATCGAGACAATATAGATAACATTATATGGGTTGTGAAGTGAAGTGAAGTTTGATCTTGATTATATTAATCCTTGTTGAAGTGAATAACACAAGTACGTAGTATTCTCCTCATCAGTCGAATCTCACGATTTAAAACGAAATGAACGAAAAGTATCGAAACAAGTACCTTTTCTAGCAGCTGGCTGGAGAAGATGTGCCATAAAATGGCGTTTTATTAATAATAAACAGACAGTGAGTCGATGATCTTCTTAAAACTCGTCCTATTCAAATAAAAAAGAAGCGCCCTACCAGTACAAGTATCCCCGTCTAAATTAGAAAAGGGTCAAATCAAAGTTATATGAAGCCTATCTTTTTTAATTCTATTAGGAACCTCTCTAATAATTCAACAATCATTTTAAGTAATATTGCTAACTCCAATGCTAGGCAAAATCTGGATCCTCTAACCCATTGCTAAGGCTAGAAAAACTACAGTGAATCTGTTTTTAAAGCCTTAATATATGGTAAGACAATAGGAGGATTCCTCCCAAACTTATATTTGGACATTGAAAGTATTAAATTGGTTCTAAAATTTGGTGAAAGAATTCAAGGAACCAAATGAAGCTTCTCTATTAAATTCAATTGTAAGAAATTAAAAAACCTGCGAATAGTACAGTCGATAATGGATGCTAAACATATTTCCAAATTATCCTGACGAAAACTTCAAGATCTTTGTAAGCTTGGAAAACAATAGGTTTACTGTCTAGCATGGAAAGGAAAGGATGGAAGCATGATGAGGGGACCAGAGTGGGACAACCAAAATTAAAGAAAATCTGGCTTTAAAGCTGAACATAAAAACATCTTAACCATAATCTCTTCTCTAGACTGTCGAAAGGCCCAAAAATATTTGCTTCTCAAATAATTTGATTTACAGCCTACCGTACTACACTGCAGTCCAGAACGGATGAAGGCAACCCAGAACTTCTGCAAACTCTCAAATGATGCATTCATGTTAATATTTATTCCTATTTTTTACTAACTTTGATTACCGGATGAAAATAATAACGTTCTGTGTCACTCAAATATACAATAAACTGGACATTTAAAAATAATTCATGTTAACAAAGACTCAATACCACGTGTTACAAAAAACACCCATAAATCATAATAAAATATATTTGTTAAAAAACACAACACTTGCAGGTTGTTGCCACTAACTAAAAGTCACATTATGTTATGTAAGTTCTAGCCAACAGACCATTGTCCAAAAAATCTTTTGCGGAAGGAGTACAAATTAGGGTTTTTCACGGTCTTTTTTGGTTGCTTCTAAATCGTGGGAGATTCCCCTCATAAGGAGTATATTACATACTTGTCTTATTTACAAAACAAGGACGTAATATAATTTATATTTCCAAATAAGTCAAATAAAGTTTTATTTTCAATTTTTTTTATACTCAAATAGCGCATTTTTTGAATATTATCTTTTCTCAGCATATGGGAACTTATAGCCAGATAACCTTATATTAAGTGTACATTAAAAAAATAAATATTTTCAATGCGTTAAAGACTACTGCATATTTTTTTAAATTATTGATACTGTATTTTTGCATTTAATGCAAATTAAATTATTATCCCTTTCCATGAAAGGGTCAGCATTACTTACCACATTTCTGGATGCAACCTATCTGGATGCTGTTGTTTTCTTTGCAATTCCTCCATTGAAAAATTTTCCTCATCTGTTAAATTATCTTCTGAGCTCTCTGAATCAGAACTGGTGGACACTTCAGTCCTATGTTTGCACACCCTTGATCTGTTTTTTCGAGGAGGAGGTACATATTTGCTCTTTAACGAGTTTACTTTAAGAGCTCTTGAGACCAGAAGCTCATCAAACTCTAAGCACAACTTAATCAACTTATCAGTGGCCTTGGTGATTTTCAAATTACTTTCATCTTTCTGATAAAATAGTTCTGATGGTGTGGATCTAATCCAAAAATTTTTTTCTTGGTCTAAAAAGTCTATATGTTTGCGGCTAATTTCTTCCAGTTTTTGAGATATTTGCTTTTCTGTATGGCAATAGTTGCGCTTGTATCTGTTAAGTATTTCATCGCGCTCATTTTGCACTTGTCTTGCTGTATCTTTACCTTTGTATTTATCTTTTGGACATTCCCTTTCTCTGGGATTGTTTTTGTTTACGTACCTACTTGTGTCTCTACTTTGAGCGCTATTACGAATTCTACTCACGCTTCGGCTCCGGCTTCTATTCCCTTTTGAATAGGAAGCACTCATGCTGCTACTAGGTTCACCAGATCTCTTCTGATTGTAGCCTGAAGGCTAATAGAAGTTTTATCAGTAACTTCATATAAGCTTTAGTTATTGTACTTACACTATCCCTTATGCTAGCCTTTTTCACGGCCCTGTAGTCATCAAGCTCCTTTTTATAATCATGCCCTCGCACCATGTTGCTAGAACCTTGGTAGTACTGATATTGAGAAGACGATGTCTGAACTGATTGCTGGTATGAATAGTCGTAAGTGCTAGAGGAGGGAGGGAAATTTGGAGGAGGAATTGTGTAAGGACCTACTACAGGAGGAGGATAAGGGGGCACTGGTAGCTGAGGTGATGCTTGTTGCCACTGCATGAAATGTGCCGATTGGTTCTGAGGAGGTGGATAATGGACATAGTTTATATGTGAAGGACCAGAATTAGGGACATGGCATTGCTGCCCATAATACCAATGTTCTTCCATTGGAGGCTCACAGTTTAATGGGGAATTATAGATTATTTATAGGTGCTCTGTTCAATCATTTGAAATTAATAACATTATTATGGTTGTCTATTTTTATATAAAAATAAAGGCAAATTAATGTTTCTGCAATTACTGCTGACACTAGTGAATACAAAAATGTATTACACATTACACAATTACTTATTCACTGTATTCAAAAATTTATGTTCATAGGTAACAGACTATGTTTAGTTATTATTGGAAAGTGTTGCTTCAAAATTTGTTTTTTGGAGTAAGTTAAACGACTCTAACCATTGATAAATACTACTATTATATACGTAACGTTGCAGTAAATTACAATATGCATTTGCTCATTGCAGATTTCCGCAAAATTTTTGTCGTCACAGTTTAGACAGAAATTTCCATAACCTTAAAACTTTCACATAACACATTAAAGCTACATCAAACAGCATTGATACGAGATCTCAGTAAAACAGCAACGAATCCAGCCACAAAATATTAAGGTCTAGAGAAATTTTTTTAATGTCTCTATGTTTAAAATATCCACGAAATTCGTTTACAGGTCTTCCTGTCCCAGACATACACTTTTAAGGGCGTATTCAGTCGATAGCATGGATTGGCGACACCTTCAATTAAATGTAACGCTCCATTCAATTGACGTTTCGAAATTGTTCCGTAACTCTTAACACCGCTGAATGCGCCCATCTTAGACGAGTTTATCGCATTCAACAAATGAGTTCTGTTTTACCATTTTAGTTTTCTGTGGTAATTCTATTTGACTGATTTTGGTTTAATAAAATGACTTCCGTTCAAAAATGTGAATCTCCAGGGTGCACCCAAAATGCGAATTTACGATGTCCTACATGTATTAAATTGGGGATCGCGGGTTCGTTTTTCTGTTCTCAGGACTGCTTTAAAAACAATTGGAAGTCGCACAAAATTGTCCACTCATTAGCCAGTAAGTAGGGTTAGGTATGTATGTGAGAATACGTTTGATTTAGGCAAAAGTTGTTTGAGAATCTTCGTGATTGAGGAATCGGTTTTCATTTTCAGGAGGACAAGGTGCAAATGATTCTCGTGATACCGGGTTATATAACCCCTGGCCTAATTATAACTTTACCGGAAAATTGAGGCCTTTTCCTCAAAGCGCTAAACGGGTGGTCCCTCTCAACATAGACAGGCCAGATTATGCGGATCATCCACAGGGTTTTCCACTAAGTGAGCAAGCAGTAAAAGGATCTGGACACATCAAAGTGTTAGATGATGAAGAAATTGAAGGTATTTACATAAATACACATGTGGCTCGAAATAATTTTCAAAACTTGTTTTGGATATAAATTCTGAGATGTTTTCATGTGAGGTTTCCAATCGTTTTAAATTCTGTGTTTTGTTTTCTGTCCCTCCGTAAGTTTTTGAATAAAATGGATCCAAAAGTATTAGGGACTTTTTCCACCTCTAAAGAAATTGGATCCTTGTCACTTTATTGGTTAAGAACTGGTTAGAATCTAATTTCTTTGAAGTTATTTTCAATCGACAATTTTAATTTTTGCACATTCTTCTTTATTGCTATCAAAATGTTAGATTAAGTCTTGTTTCTTTGGTTATTTAAATATAAAAAAATGCGTTTATCGCAATGGAAAATGTATTTGATGAATTTTTAAGATGCAAAAGAGCACTTGGAGTGAATCACAATCACACACTTAGGACAGAACATGTTATAACATGTTCCTGATAACAACCTAATGGTGTCACACCTGCACTACTTTGCCATTGCCAAGCTGTACTCGCTTTCCAATATTTTGCATTTAAAAAAAATCAAAAAGGAAATTACATATGTTACAACTGTCTGCTACAACAATTCACCTTCAAACCATTGACTCAAATATGTAACAACCATACAAACAACTTTGGTATGACGAAATACAAACTACAATGAAATAAAATCAAATCTGTATTTTTTAATTCATAACCCACAATATTTGCTATTTCAAAAGTGAATAACTTTTAGATATGATCTAGAACAATCCCATTTTTTCCCCAATTGAATTGGGCTGGAAATAGAACTTGATTGAACTTTAATGGGGACTGAAATTGATTTGAGTCACATGTATATCTAGTAATAGTATCATGTTAAGGGTGCCATTAGACATGATGTGGAACGTTACATCTCCTATGGGTCATTTAATAGTAGTAGTAATATATTTTTAAAATTAAAATGTCCTCAAAAAATACAATTTTAAAATTTCTTTTGTTATTATTCTACTGTTTAATTTTTAGGAGTTAAAGTAGCCTGCAAATTAGGTAGAGAGGTCTTAGATGAAGCGGCAAGAGTTTGTGATGTTGGAGTAACTACAGATGAAATTGATCGTATAGTACATGAAGCATGTATAGAAAGAGACTGCTATCCATCACCACTGAACTATTACGAGTTCCCCAAGTCATGTTGCACATCAGTCAATGAGGTTATCTGCCATGGGATACCAGACACTAGACCTCTTGAAGATGGAGATATTTGTAATGTTGACATCACTGTATATCACAATGGTTTCCATGGAGATTTAAATGAAACATTTTTTGTTGGTAATGTTGGTGACAAAGTTAAGGACCTAGTCAAGGTTACCTATGAGTGCCTCTCCAAGGCTATAGAAATAGTAAAACCTGGTGAAAAATATAGAGAAATTGGAAATGTCATCCAGAAACATGCTCAAACTCATGGCTACTCAGTAGTTAAGAGTTATTGCGGTCATGGTATTCATAGACTGTTTCATACTGCCCCCAATGTACCTCATTATGCGAGTAAGTTAGGAATTTCTAATTGATATGCGGTGCCTTAGAACACTGTGTTTGTAGAAAACCGAGCTATTGGAGTGATGAAACCTGGTCATTGCTTCACCATTGAACCAATGATTTCAATGGGAACGTGGCGAGATGAAATGTGGCCTGATAAATGGACCGCTGTTACAGTGGATGGACAGTACTCCGCCCAATTTGAGCAGACGTTGCTAGTCAATGAGACAGGCTGCGAGATATTGACTCGTAGACGAGAAAAGAATGGTCAGCCTCACTTTATGGACAAGCTGTGATTTGTTACACTTAATCATGAAATGTTGACATTTACAGATCCATATGAAATATAAAAACTGTTTTATTTGCAATTGAATATCAATATGGTAAGAGGAGGTACAATCCTCAGCTGATTATATCATTTCACAAGTTTTCGTCAATCTACATCAACCATTTTTTTTTCATATCTCTTTGTATGTGAATAAAAAAAATCCCTGTATTTTTATTATTTACATTCTTCCACAGAAATAATACCTGTAGGGTTTGTTATAACTAAAAGGCTATTTTCTTCAAATGGATGTTTGTAATTTTGAACAAACTGCAGTCAGCATTGCCTGACTTTTTTATTATTGAAGCTACAAGGCCTGTTAAATTAACAACGTTGTAATATTTTTCCCCTGATTAGAGTGGTTGTGAGGGTGAAGCTATTCATAACATGGAATCAATTAGATGAAAAATATACAGCGTGTAAAATTTGTTGAGATATTTTTCTATTACAACCACTATAATAAATCGAAAAATACAACTTCGCTAATATAACCGACCTAAAGACTTCAATAATAAAGAAGTCAGTGTTTTTTTACACAACAGAAATAATTGTGAAAGGAATAATTAAATGTGCAAAAAAAATTCAGTCACCATTATTTTTGGAAATTGATTAAGTTAGCTACACTAGAGGAGGAATTGCTCCCAGTAATCGGTTTTTATGACTGGTTAGGTTTGCTTAACGTATAAAATTCCTTGCATCCCTTTATTAGTAATAAATATTTGGACGCTGATGAGGACGCAATTGGCGGGAATAAAAATCAGAACCATTAAAAACAGAAAAATATACTCATAAATTATATTTACATTTCAAGGTAATTGGCGGCTTGCCTCAAAAGTATGCTTGCCTTAAATGAACAACTGACTCTTTACACTTCCATTTTTACACATTTTACGAAACTGAACTGCTACAATTGTCGACTAAACCTCCCGATATTTATAGAACGCCATGGAATTCCATGTCTAGAAAACTCCTCTACAACCTTTTCAAGCATATAGTTTAACAATCTCTAATTTCCAATGCTGAACGTAAAGGATTCTCGCTCGGCAAGGAAAATGTAGGAATGTTAAAAAGCGATTGAAACTCTTTTTATTATGCGTTCATGTACACTAAGAGAAAAAAAAGACTGTGAAACAGATACCAACTGAAAAGGTTCCGTTCGCGAATTAAAACGAAAATTTAAAAATTACCAACAAATATAAACAAGATGATCTAACCGTCTTTTAGTTTTTATCTCTACACGTACAAAACGCAGCGGTGGAATTTGTCGAGTGTCCTCTTTCGGCGTGGATAATAGTATTCTTGAGGCACATATTCACTAGAACATCAATTCATGAGATTCGTGTAAATATTTCGAATAAATAAGAAGAGAGATTGATTCTCAACAGTGTTACGAGCGAGACCCACTCAATCCCAAACCAAAACAAACATCGCTGTGAAGCCTTAATTAACGCGAATTTAATTATTGGACCCTAATAGCTACGATAATAATTCCACCTGCATTTATTGCAAACATTTCTTTATAGCAGCCTTTAGTGCAACACACAAATAAATAAAAAAAATATATAATATATATATCATATAGAACAATCAAGAAAACTGATTGCTAAAAATTAATAACAGCCTCATAAAAAAACTGCGATATATATATAAAATTAGCCCATCAGGAACTTTTGCAGTACAGTGTTTTACAGAATGACTAAAAATTCACTTTTTTGTTTTCTTTACCGATCTTAGTTTTCTTACTGGCTACGGTTCTACATACTATAACAATACTATTTATAATAAATGAAAAGTCACGTGGCATGCTTGACGCACTGTTAGAAAACACTTTGGCTTAAATCCATCGACTTTTATTACCATTTTTTCTCTTTTACTTGGTATAAAAAATGGCACACTAAGCTAAGCGCACACTTGGACACAAATACTTTTTTTGTTACTCGATAGTTATTAAAAAACATCACAAATAGTTCTTTTTTCTCATTTAATATTTATATTATATTTATATATTTACGCTTATTCTCTGCAAATGGTAAGATGTCCATAACGGATCACAATATTTTTTCTTTTTTGGTAAAACGAGTTCTAAACCAGGTTGTACTCCTTTAGGTTGGACTGTAATATTGTATCTTTCACGGCGGCGAATACAAATTTGATGTTCTCCGTGTCTGAAAACATTGTAAAATCAATATCCTCCAGCTGTAAAATTAAATTAAATTATCCAAATTGATTCCGACAGCGAAAAAAATGCTAAAGTCTAATATACCGATGGAGACGAAATCATTAAGAAACTAAAACTAATAGAAAACTTTGGAGCCATCGATAAACGACACGCGTGTCTTGAAGGCGCGGTAAACAACTAAATCTAGTACTTTATAACTTGATACGCAGTAGTTTATGTATCGCTCCATACCTATAACTGAGATGAAGATGGAGATGACGGATTAAAACATTGTGTATGATTTTTTGATGACTGATGTAAATATTTACCTTCACATTTAAGCTAAATTAAATTCTTTAAGAGCAGTTTGCATGATTGTGTCTTTGACAGCACAAAACACGAGTTTTATGTTTTCAGTATCTGTGCGTCCATTAACCAAACGAAAAAATATCCGCCGTCCATCGTATAAGGCATGCAGATTATAAAAAAATTAAAATTATTAAATTATGTTGAAGTTGCATTTTTTAAAGAAAGAAACAAAAGCAAAATCAACAAGTATGCATGCAATGGGGTAAATTCACAAAAAAAACGGTGCAAATTTTAAACTAACTATAAAATTATAAACTACAATAGAACAATATAATACCTGTAGCACAAGTAAAATGTGAGTATATGATTTTTTCACTATCCGGGTTTAGGTCTACAAACATCCTTAGGATAAATTCTCTAGCTGCAATTGCGTCTCTCTGGGGACCTAAGCAAAATTATGTTAGCACAGCATCTAGCAACTACATTTTCTTAAACTTTTGTAAAAGCACAATTTATTGCTTCAGTTAGCCATGGAACAGATAGATCAAGTGTATAAGCACCTATACACGGCCACCAGCAGGCCCTTATTCCATTTATTCTTGAATTTTCAGTAACAAACTCCATATAAGGGATATTCGTTTTTTTCTGAGAAAAAAGGATTTTAATATAGGTCTCAAAAATGAATTTTATTTATTTTGCCAATCTGCGAGAACTTCATTTAGCAATTATATTTATATTATTATTATTATATTATATGAGCGTAAAATATTTAATCTCTCATTGAACTCGGGTGTCTTTATTGGGACATTGTAGATATAAGTAGAGCTACTTATACAAGGTTCCATGGCCAGCTAGGTTATTTATATAAGAAGACATCCATAAATTATGTCACATATCAGGAACGACCGAGGGAGTCCACAAGGTAGAATAAAATATAATAAGTCTTATATCACTAAAGAAAAACTAAAAATTTTACAAAATCACAACAAATAAAACTGCTTTTTACAAAACTTCCGGATTCCTCCTGCGTCGGTTTTTGCCTAGTCGAAATTGCTGACGTTTCGCCAATCCTCATGTTGGCTTCTTCAGAGCTTGACTGAAACTGAAACTGTTTCAGTCAAGCTCTGAAAAAGCCAACAGGATGATTGGCGAAACGTCAGCAATTGCGACGCAGGAGGAATCCAGAAGTTTTGTAAAAAGCATTAGAGTAGTCTGTGGAAGTTTCTTTGAAAAATTAACAAATAAAACTAATCAACAAGGTTATGAGAAATCGTTAAATTAGTGTGACACAATTTACGTACGGCTCCCCTAAAATCACAGTGGAGATAACAAAGAGGTGTCTTCAATTCCTATGTAGCTGCTAGCTGGAAAAATAAAGAATACATAGATCTGGGGGAGACCTGTGGCTGTAGTAAAATGTGAATAACACTGGCGTTCTGGATCAGGATTTTCTTTCAGGTACACCTTAAGGATATATTCTCGAGCGGTAATGTGATCCTGTTTCGGACCTTTAACCAACAACAAATTAAAAAATATATATATATGCGGCAAAACACTGAAATAAAATTTTATAAAATCGCCCCAGCTTACCGTCATATTCTGGAAAATAATCTACGAGATGTGAGTACATGATCTTCTCTTCTAGAAGATCCTTCTTGTTTAAAAACAGGATTACAGAAGAATGCTGAAACCATGGGTAAGTAATGATCGTTTTGAACAGGGCTTTGGACTCTTCCATACGATTCTGTAAAGGCGCTGTTTAAAAATTGCAAAAGTAAACTGATATGTGGTTCACCTCATTTTCCGACTCGAAGAGAATCTGATCGTATTCACTTAAAGCTACTAGAAATATAATGGAAGTGACGTTTTCAAAACAATGGATCCATTTCCTTCTTTCTGATCGCTGGCCTCCGACGTCGACCATCCTGCGGATGCAAAACAAGAACTGACGTTCATAACTACATACTTCCGTTTGGTAGACAAGCTGTCTAATTAGAATTTCACAATTAAAGCCAAACAAACGATCATGAAACCCATTTCTACATATAGAATACACTGTAAATGGTAATTGTAATTAAAAATGTGAATCCAGGGAAACATTTTAGGCATCTCAAAGTCATCAAAAGGACGTAAAAAATGAGTTAAGTGAAAATGGTGGGCAGAAGGCAGAAGGGAATCAATTTTAATTTTATGTTCATATTGGTAACTTAAATGTTGCTGATAAAGAAAATAAGCAAACATTGATTATACTAATAATTGTAAGGGAAACCACCCAATGATATGCAAATGTTCTAATGTATACCTCTCTCCCGTGTGATATGATTCAAAAATACAAACCTGCGCCGCTAACCATACCTAAAAATAATGCTGTCGAGATCAAACGGGTATTCGATGATGCCCGTGGTCGGCGCCCTCGCCCTTAGAATGTCCTGTTCAGTGGGCAGATAATCTGAAGCACGGATCCGCTCTAGGTCGCTAAGATAGCTGCAACCAACACAACAGAGCATGCAACATGCAGCGTAAACGAAATTGTCTAGAGTGCTACCGGCAAGAACTCTACTCTACCTTAGCGATATAAATTATCTGAACGGGATATGTAAATTCGAAAATGCTTTGGAAGAAAAATGTCAATATAAAAAAAGCTACACTGCCAGAAATTATAGCAATGAACTTTTGTTTTCTGTTACCAAAACGATTGGTTATAGAAAAAAATATCTATAAGCCTTGGTTCTTGCTACATTTATTATGGTCGCTGCACACGGACGGTGAATTCGCCGGGATTCTGGTATTTCGCGCCCTGTTGATAAAGAGGTATCGAACGTGATGCAGTTTACCAGAAGGCTTTCGACTTCAAATCTTGAAATTACACAATACGAGGCTTCATTTAAAATAGATAACCCTCATGAAGACATGACCGAGGTAATGTGAAAGATATTAATTTTATCCTCATTCTTAAAACCACAAATTTCATTTATTTCAATTAAAACTTACAACTATGTCACCTTTAGTAGTTTCACTTGAAACCTATTGGATCCTTGGAGTCTATTTATTTTGAATTTTTAAAATTAATTTGGAATCTATTGGGGGTTTTGCAAACCATATTTTTTTAAATTGTTTGCACCCCCTAAATATCGACGCTTTATAGATATTTCCAAATTTTTCTGGCAAACAGTAAAAGTAATGTTTCGAGCATCGCGTTACATTTTACCCCAATGAGATGACTCACCAGTTCTGCTTGTGCTGGATTCTTAAAATGATCCGAATAAATTACAGGTTTATATTGATTGATGATATAGGTATAATTTTAATGATTGACGAAATATATTAATTTCATTACTCTTGAATCAATGTCAAATTTTGTATTGGGAATTAATTAATGTTAATGTAACTTAATGCAAACAATTCCGATGAACAACCATTGGGAAAAATATACTAACCAATTAACTTGTCTTACATTTTGTGGGATATTTTTTAGTTGCATTTCAAAATATCAGATTATCAAATTCTAAGCTTCAATTTTTTTTATTGCATATAATTTTATTCTTTACCAGCAGGCAGATTCACAGTCCCCGGTGCAGTAGTATTTGGTAAAATTTTGCTTTCGACGTAAAAAATATTCTAGTTATTTATAACTTATTCTATCGTAGTCTTGAAAACATAACACACTATTTCTAAATTTGGTGTATAAATCTCAAGGTCAACCTAGTGGGAAAAAATTGAGGTAAAAGTTCAGTGTTCTGCAGTTGAATCCCAGTCGGATAACTATAAAACCTTTCTCCTGTTCCATCTCTCTTGTTATGTGTCGATGACAGATTATTGCGTGAAAATTAAAAAACGAGTGCCCATTTAATTCCAAAAACAAAAACGTGCTGGTTACCCCGCACTGGGAAAATTAAAAAAGACGAGACCGACAAGCGCATGCTGTCCACTAAAGTCTTGCGTGCCGCAAACGGTCCAAAAAAATTTTTTTTATCGGTTTCGGTACAATACCTAAATCTGATTTCATCAAGATCAAATGGGTACTCGATGATACCCGTGGTTGGGACCCTGACTCGAAGTATATCTTGCTCAGTCGGTAAATAATCGAGCGCTGCCACCCGATCTATCTCCATTAAATAGCTAAAAGATGGTAACTCTCATTGTCCTTCACTTTTTATTGCCAAGATCAAAAATTGGGCCCATTTGACACTCCAAATATCTAACATACTGAATGCACGACAGTTCGACCATATAGGCATATTACTTACACATTAAATATTGTAGTAAGAATAAATAATAAATATCACAATAAAAATCATTTAATGGTGTAGGTGAATGAAATCATATAGGCGACACTTACTATTTTGCAGAATCTGTTAGCTGATACTCTCTTCGTCTATCATAGCACTCCTGGATACCAGCATCATTCCACAAATCCTTTATGGCATCGACATAGGGTGGCTCGAATGTCGTCACTGTCTCATAATCAATGCCCTTAATTAACTCCGCCTTTTCCTGGAAATGATGCGCAGTGAGTTTTATTTTTATAAGAACTTACTTGCAAAAGTCACCTGGCTAGAAGAACCTGCATACTGAATTTTTAAGAGATCCATTGCTTTGATCATACTCTGCATAGCCATGAAAATGTTCTGGTAAACGAGTTTAATGAACCCTCTTTTATCATCATCTGAATAACCTGCCCCATGAATAATACGCATCTGCTTGATGAAAGTAGATTTGCCTGATTCTCCTGTACCTATTATAAACAAAACGCTTCCTTTGGTATCTTATGTCCAAAACACAATAAAAATTATAAATTTAATGGACATCAAACAAATAAATTTATTTGTTTTGCTTTTTTCGCAAATTATTCTGTTATCAGGTACAATTACAGCAAGGGAATGAAATGAAAAATATCGAACATCACATATTTATAAAACATCATCTGTGAAAAATAGCATAATTGTGATCCACTGCTCCTCACTAATGAAAGATTTTATAATATCACTTTAGATAAGTGCAGTATATAATAATAATAAAGTGCTTTTATTTTTTTTACGTACATATATACAAAATATAATGAGAGTACCAAGGTGGCGATGTTCGTAAATGCGCTCTTTTACAGTTCATTAAAAAAGAGATGTATCTCAACAAATATTAAAATTAGTAGACGCGACATTGAAAATACAGAAATACAATAATCTAATACAGATAGAAAATGAAAACCTTCAATCAAACAGTACATACAACAAAGAAAAAGAAAAGAAGAACGACACTGCGGAAATATTTTAGATTCTAAACATTTTCTTAAACACTTTAACGGCATTTAGCTAAAAGCTCTTTCAAAAAGAGGTAGATTGAATATTTAGATAGACTTAAGAGATCGCAATGGCGAGTAAAGCACCCATGGATGGAGCCAGATTTAATGGTTCTAGGGTACCAAAAACCAACGATTTTGTCTTGCTATTTATTCATTAATCGATTGAAGATTATGCGATCAACGTTAACCCAGGAAAAAGAATAATATAATTGTTGACCATCTGCAAACAGATGGCAATTACAGAAGTTTAAAAAAGCTGCAAAATATTATTATAATAATAACATACTTTATTTGCTTTTCCACACTACATAATGTTCAGCATCCTCCCATGTACATAATGTAGATCAATTAAACATGACAAAAAATGAAATGAAAATATGCTGTATAAATCGAAAAAATTAGAGCGCCCAAGATACTACCTAAGGGAACTCCCTATCAGGTGCTTCCAAGTCGGAGTAGGTGCCATTAAAGTGAATCTTCTTGCATGTATTTGAGCTTTAAATATACAATTAATAGCAACAAATGCTCTATTGAAGTCTTGTATCAGAAGCTAAGGGCAGTGGTATTATGGGAAAAGAGTATTTTATGAATATTCATAAGAACAAAATATTTTGAGTTATTACCCACTAAATGCAACTTTTTGATAAAAAAGGGAGAACCCATAAATTAAAAAAAAAGAAGTGAAAAAATCTCAAAAAGCAACACTGACCATAAAAGAAATAGGGCTAGCAAGCCCCTGAGATTTGGCATCAGCATTCCAGAAGATTTTTCCACCTGATGCCAAAAAGTTGCAAATTTAATTACTAAGATGACAAAATCAACTTTTTCTAAGCACACTCGGGCTTTCAGAACAATTCAGGACAATTGTATAACAAATCCAACAATAGGGGAGCTCAGATAACTAGGTCTACTCATCACATTCTCAGGTATATATATTTGTCACCATAGATAAACTAAAATCCACCATATTTACTAATATAATCATATAATTTAATTATGCAGTTTGCAGTGTATCATAAGGCTTCATTGAATATGCCAACATTTGTGTTCTATATTCGTTTATAGTCACTTATCCAGTAAAATTACAAATTCAATATAAAATATGAGTCCCGTCCATACTGAATTCGAGGCAACTTTAATTGTGTATTGCTTACCTGAATAATATTTGAACAAGTTACTCGAGAAAATCAAAACCAAGAATTGTGCAACAATTTAAATTAACTACCTACCAAGCAGGAGCAGTTTGAGTTCGCGTCTAGCATCACGTTTGTCACGACGTAGCTGTTTTTCGATTTCAGCATTAATTCTTTTCTGTTCCCGAGCCTCATCTGACTGGCAGCACTGCATGGTCATACTCTTGTAGAGGGGGCCACTGTGTGTCTGCTATCATCCACGCCGATTTCCGAACCGAAACGCACACACACGTACTACAGGCAGACACTTTTCCAAACGGGCATCACAGTTGATTGCTGCTGGGTGTGGTGACTGACATGCTCTTATAGCCTCATCACGTCTACTTTATATATAATCCCATTAGGATAACCAGATTGCCGAAGCCTCATGTGCAATAACTGCAAAACAGATTAAAAGACTGGGTACAAGGGGGAAACAAACCAATCGGCATTCGGTTGTGGAATCTTTTCAATAAGGGCTTTCGTTTACGTTCAAGCGATTGACTTACGCGATCTATTCCTAAGACGAGAACTTAATATGTACATCGTTTATGGAAAAATCTATCACTAATAGTGGATCATCGCATCCACGCTCGAACGAAAAATACCCATTTCACGAAAAAGTAATAAACCGCCTCTTGTCAATATGGCGTTTCCCTGTTTCTCGGTTTCCGCGAAAGCGCAAGTCAGGAAGTAAGTGAACGATTTTTGCCGCTTTCATTTAAACTTTATTCTTTAAAATATTTCTATTCGACTAAAATTCTTGCTGTATTATTTCGATATGCCTTTGGTCGATAAATTGAAGAATATTTTTTTAAATATTTGATGTTTTTATTCAAAAATCTTAAACAAAAGTGTTTGATTTAGATATTTTTGAAACGGAGACAGGTTTTTTATGGTCTTTGCTCTAAAATAGCGTAAACGTACGTAAGACTTGGGGAGTAAAGCATTGTAAAAATGTTTTCAATTTAATTTTTTTCGGTGCTTTCTACATTAATTAAAAATTCGCGAAAAATCCCGAAAGGTTAAAAACACATCATGGAGGATGAAGCGAAAATTGAAAATCTTCAGGGAAATTTCATGTAATCCTCTTTGACACACTTTTTTTACAGTTATCGCTCACGCACTATTATTAATTCTCCCAATGAGAATCTGTCAAAGAAATCAGGCGTTATCTTTTGGTTTTGCAGTCTAAGGTATAGAATCCAAACATCAAAATTAAAAACTTATTTCAATTTTTCACCCAGTTGTTGACCAAGGACAATAAAAACATAAGGATTACTACTATATAAATTAACCATTTTTAATAACTGGAATGTCTTAACATTAATTTTTATTTTAAAATGAACTACAAGCCGACTTAAGAAATATAAATTTGATTTAAACACCCTCAACATCTTTCGTTTCCATTCATATATTATTATTGAACTGATATAATCATCTAGCTTAGTAACCCTATTCGCTAAACAAACAACTTGGCTTAGAAACAACTGCGATAAAAAACTTACAATTGACGGGAGAGGGGTTAACCTGCCATTCAAATAATTGTAATAGTTATATAAACACTGCTAAAATATGACACATATTACAAAAATTATGATCCCTTGAGTTTCCTCGTCAACCGATTTTCTCACAGAGAAAATACAATTAATTGTGTTCTATTTTTCCTGCAGAGCTGCTACTGCTGTTACTTTTGTGAGTTAAATTTTTATTTAATTTTTGTATTTTCGAAATATGAAACCACAGCCAGGGAAACGCTAGAAAACGTATTGGAGCCATTTCGTTCACTTTTATTTGTTTTTAAAATTTCTGGATTAATAATAACTGTTCATTTTTGTCTCAGTCTGAACTCGCTCAAACTTTTAGTTTTTATCATCTTCGTGTTTTCGCTTCTCGCCCCGTGATACTGGAAAAAAAAATTACCTGGGTTAAAATCAGAATCCCCTAGTCAAAAAATCAAAGAAAAAAAACTATATTTAAAAAAAAAATGAATAAGTGCTATAAAAAATTACCATTGGGTGTTGGAGCGTCGTCAGAATCCTCTTCATAGAACTCCTCCTCTTCAATTGCCTCATCATCATCATCCTCCTCTTCCTCTTCTTCCTCATAGTCTTCTTCATCAGACATATCATCTATATTTTCAGAATAGACTGCTCCAAGATGGACACTATCATCCAAATCCTCATCCTCTGAAAATTCCTCACTGTCATTATTTCCATTTACTTCAATTACATCTTCCTCGCCATCAGTATCTTCTGCCTCTTGGTCATCAGCATCATATCCATCAAGGTACTTCAAACTTGAGATCATTTTGAAGATTTTCTCTCGGTAGTTCTCTATGGTAGTGGCCTCATTGTTAAATAAATCCAGGCTTTTTAGGTGATTAAATGTTTTTAATGGTTCCAGAGCATCCAGGTCCTTGATTTTGTTGCCACTCAGGTTAAGGTGAGTTAGTTTTGGGCTTGTGTCTAACACTTCTAATCCACCAGATATTCTATAGAAAAATTTACAATAAAGAATAATTTAACCAAATATCTGTACGCACTCATTCATGTACATGGCTTAAATGCTCTCACAAATACGCCATGAAACAGAACTGAAACTGAAGTCACTACTATTTTCCTTACCTGTTGTCACTTAGTTCCAATTTTCGTAAGTTAGGAAGCCTGGGGAACCCTTTAAGTGAAGTGAGGCCCACATTGATGAGTGAAAGACTACGCAAATTGACAAACTCATCTGTAATTCCAACAATATTTGTGCTCCTGCAGTTGTCCAGATTAAGTTCTTTGATCTAGGGAAAAATTCAATATGTTCAAATCTGTTCAATAAACTCAAACCAGGTTCTACGAATTTACAAGACCGAAACACCACTCCCCGTAAAAAATATGTTTGTTAAATTAACTCCCCTATTCTTGTCATTCATTGTCCTGTGATTATAGGATACCCACTTTTTTAAACAAAATATGGTAATTCAAATATCCCGCATTTACTGAGATGTAATACTCTAATTAACAGTTTAACATTAAGTTACTTACCTCTGCCGGATTATGCCCTCGTTTTTCTAACTCGACACGCTTCTCCATTTTAAAGCTTCGTACACGAAGGCGACGAATGGAACGCAATTAATAACGTGCACCGTCAATCCCTCTACGAAAACAACCTATCCACAATGAAAACGGTAGAATTCGACCCTACTAAAACTTATAATCGTTTATAAACGCGAAAATACCCTGTTTTTATTTTTTCATTTAAGAACGAAGTCATGAAAACGACGGCAAGACAATCCAAACAATCTAACTAGAGAATAAAAAGCGGTATTGCTCCGAATGTGTTTCTATCTTTCTTACGATTTGTTGATTGGAGAAGGATCGACCATATCTGGTGTTGCACCCCAACAGTAACGAATGTGTTGATGGGTGGCGGGAGAAACGGCAACCAATGGCGATTCGCAAAAAGAAAGGTCTGTTCGAAAATTCATACGTGCGAGTTTGCAAAAAGAGGACACGCTTCGATTGTAGTATTATTGGCGCCAGATTTCAAACTAATATTTAGAAGAAAGAGACAATCAAACAAATAGTAAATCTATTTTGGTAGTTTTTTTAAACAGCATTGCCATAGTACATAAAATATTAATTTAATGAATCATAAATTGGGTTTGCAACAGTCGTTAAAATGCGTTTATAATTTTTGTTTTTCTTTTCCATATTTTGGCTCTGAAAGTTGTATATTCTATAGATTTCTAACTCCTAACATATATTACTATTCCTCTCATGCTCTTATTATTTAAACTTTAGCGCAAATCTGCGCAAGATGATGCACAGGTTATGATTTTAGCAAGGGCAGTGAGTGGTGCTTTATTTTGACGGACTGCTCCCGGTCTCTGGTCTCTATGCCAAACCATTTAAACCGCGTATTTGAACCATGTAGCTACCAATTAAATCGAATATAAAGGTCGTAAATACACATATACAGGTTGGGCAAAATTAGATACTTGTAAAGAGATAAAACACCTTTCTTCCCTATACGAAAACTGATTTCCGTGCTTGGTGCGCTGAAATAACTTTTTTTTGCTATGAAAATTTTGAGAAGGTTAAGTTCTTTTCAGTTATTCAAAATTGTACATGGTGACGATTTTCCTGTTGATTAAGCTATTAGCTTTAAAAATATAAGTTTTTATATCTTTAAATTCTATGCAAAAATGTGTTTCGGAAATGTTTTCATAGATATTGAAAATTTTTTTTTCAAAAAAGCACATGCGAATCCAACAGACTGTCACGCCTACTAAGGAACAGACCAATGACTGTGTAGCTAAATTTAAAAATACACCTTAACTTTATTAACGATACTAATTAGAGCGAACCATAAAACTACTAGAGATATAGATTTTCTGTCTATGCTTATAATACAGGAACTTATGAAGCAACTATAACAAAATTTTTGAGAAGGTCCATTCAACTTGCGCATACCCTAGATTCAAAATCCCGTAATTTTCTCAAAATATGTACAGGTCCCATTAAAACTTCAGGCAAACAGGAGTTAAGTGTGTGGATATGTGTGGATATGGCTGTTTAGAAACTTGGCTAGAGTGCAGGTCAGTGGTGAAATATAGAGGCATGACTGGCAGTTAGAAAGTAAAGGGGGAGCCGTCAGTCAACTGGTAAAAAAATTATTTCAGGATTGGCACTGGAAGTCCAAGAACAAGTCAGTTTAAAGAGACAATTCGAAGCAATCCGTCAGTTAAATCAGACCAGAGATTACGCACCAACCGAGGTGGTTACATCTAGAGGGAGCTCGAGTCAATGGCTGCTGGTCGATGGAATGTGGCACACTTAATTGATCGAATTTCTGCTGACTAGGCGTTTTTTGCCATGCCCTAGTTATAATTGCGACGGGTTCTTTAGATTTTATATTATCAGTTGGAATTATAAAATGTTTAAAAGTATTCTTCTAACTAAAGTTTGGCTTCCTGTTAAAGGAATTGTTCTTGTGGTTACGCTAACTAAGTTTTGCAACCATTTGACGACGTTAATGCTTAGAAGCCAAAGCAATATTTGCTAAATAAAACACTCTCTAATTTCAAATTTAAAATTTTATTGTTCTTCATTTGATTTATTACCATTTGGCAATTCTATTTTACAATTCCATAAAAATAATTATACTTAATAACGTAGCAGACAAAAATAATATTAAACCGACAGTCAAGAGTAATCTTGGGGATATGCCTGCCTCTCTTGAGCAAGTCATTATTGCAAGCCTCATTTGAGTTCAAGATTGAATTGAACTATTCAACTCAAAATTTTGTTGTAAATCCACTAGACTCGTAATTGACACTGTGAACAATATTTTTTAAGACTTGCAAATAAAAATATTCTGTAGAAAAATAAAATCTGCGGAGCAATGAATGAAGCATATATCTAACTCTTTTTGGCATTTAAAAATTTCATGTATATCATAAAAACTTTCGATATAAATAACTTTCCATATATTCAACAAAGATTTAAATAAGGAATGATGAAGTTTGACCTTCTAAATTTGAGCTTCGTGGTTACAAGATTTGACAAATTAAAAAAAATCTGGACTCTAGACTCATAGTGTAAAATCGATACTATAAGTATATAGACACTTGCGACTGCACCCCACAAATGTCCTCTGATTTAGGAATGATCCTGTGCAATTTTCCTAATATTTAGTAAGTTTATGAATTTCCGACCAAGTTAAAATCTTGAAGAAGATTTAACGCGATTTTTATTTCTCGGAACCACGAAGACAGTCTACTTAAATACATTAAATAATCACTATGCGTTTATTCGAACATGTTTGTTGTGGGGGCAACTTCAAACAGCATCTGTAGAAACACCGTCAGGCCATCTAAAAAGGAGGATATTACTATGAACAACAGAGCTGTAAGGCGCTTAACTTCGACTTACCCATATATGGTATGCGGTACTTATAGTGAACGAAAGGAACATAAAATATCATCCCGCCAAGGATAAAAAGCGCTGCGTAAAGGTACTCGATTGTGGGGTTATCTACTATCGGTCCTATTATTAGGTAGAACGAGATCATTAGCACCAAGTATGGAATGACGATCGGAACCTAAGAAATTAACTTGATAGTAATATACAATGTGTCGTATTTAAGATGAAGACACCCCTATATTTTGGCTACCTAAATATGGTGATCCTGCTCGTAGTAGCAGAATAGTTGCTGCGGAGTTTAACAGGAGACATCCCCAACGTACTCCCACTACATATGGAAAAGCACTCGCTATACATATTATAGTTATTTTCTTAAATTTTATCAGCTGCCTGCTAAAAACTATTGTTTTCGTTAGTTTTGGTTAGTGTTATTTATTTTGCTGAAGAATTTAAATGACATTAATTACACTATTGCATTAACCATATTGTAAAGAAATTTCCATGGCCAAGTACTTTATCAAATAAAAAATCAACTTATAATAATTTTGTGTATTGATCAAAATAATGAAAAAACTAAAATTGCGAATTTTGTCATGAAATTTAGTATGTGGTGTTGGAATAATATTCGTAACAACTATTTTCGAATAACTTTTTCCGATATCTCTAACGCGAAGCAAAATATCTAAATTGAAGCTGTTTGTAGATACGCAGTTTAAAAGTTATTTCAGTTGAGTATCTTAAAAAATGTAAACTATCAACCTGTATACGAAACTTTAAATCTGTATTTATTTAGAGAGCTAAAATATAAGGGTGTGACATACTGCATATAATAATCGGTTATAAAGTTTGGTTGATTTCTTATGTGCAATAAAATTTAAAGCCTAAAACCAACGCATAAATTTGGCTGCCTATTTTCGTTTTTTTAGTTTGTACTAATACTTAGATATAAAACAAGTTTGATAAACTAATTTTGCAAAATACCATGAATACATTCACTCAGTGAAGTGACGTAACCATCAGAGCTGACAAACGTCAAAATTACTACCAGTGGCTAAAATAATCTACCTTAGATTAACTAAGAAATCTACCGGAAAGGGAAATTTTATTGCAAATGGAAAATCAACGAAAATTTTCGAAACCGAGTTTAGGAAAAATTTATGGCGCGGTCTCACCTTGTATGGTCTCGGATAATTAGGCTTGGTGTGGCGCATCACAATCAGCGCCACCATAGCGCCACCATAAAAAATCCATGCTGTAAAACTAAAGAAATCTATCAGAGAATCGATGGTGCCATACATTACCATTGCTCCTGCTATGAGGGACTACAACGAAGATCCGAATTAATTTTTATACGCAGCGTGGTGTCAGGTAGCTACTTACATGAAAAATTAACCCCGGAGCGGGTGTGTATCGTCTTACGTGTACATATGACAAGATGTCTAAAAGATGGCCTTCGCGGCTTGCCGCGAAACAGAGTCGTCCGGCAGCGAACAAGGTGCCGTTCGCGGAACCAAAAGTTGAAATTGTTACAGACAAAGGCATAAGCCAGGCCATCACCCCTACACAGACGGATGTTGTAAACTTGATTTATCTACAGTGTGTCCCATAATTTATCTGCTATAGAGCAATATTTGATGTTATAAATCAAATTACAAAGATTTTTTTTTTAATCGTAATATTTTCATTTATATAATGTCACCTATTGCTGCGTGTTAGATAAGTTATGAGACAGTCTGTACAGAATGAATCGCTCGGTAAAATATTAATTTATTGTGAGATTTTCTTTTATTGGAGCAACATTCAAATACAAAAAAGAGTACTTTTAGGAGCATCTATTTTGGCAAACAGTAATCACCAGACAATAGTACCAAATTCCGTTAAAAAAAAAATGCATTTTCATAACCAGAAATGTGTGAGTGGTAACTTTATTATTTATTAGAAACTGTAAGATCATTTCAACCTTCAACAATCTCTCGTATCTTTAATATCGTTATTATGCAACAAGTGTGGTAAAGGGCGTTTATTAAACGCTCGCTCCGCTGTGCTTCGCTCGTGCCAAATACACTCGTGACTCAAATGCCGTTTACCACACTTGTTGCATAATATACTAATCCTAACACATTATCAAGAGCACAGCAAGAGCAAAAGTATCGTAGTAGATAATACATCGGAGACCGAGACCGACGCGGACATTTTATTACCTCTGGACATAGCAGATTTAAGATTATATTGACATGTTCTGTGGGCGAACGCTCCTGTATATCTTCTGTGATCATGCGTTGAAATTTTAGACATATGGAAGCAGTATTAGACTGCGGATAACAACTTTGTGTTCTGCAATAGTATATTATGCAACAATTGCGGTAAAACGGCATTTGACTGACCAGTTTATTTGACACGTGAGGAGCGAGTGTTTAATAAACGAGTGAGTTAAAAAGTTTACCGAACGTGTTGCATACTATACTTTTTCTACGACCGTTAGTTTTTGGGTGCATTTTCATAAAACAACACGAATACATTCACTGACATGTCCGTCAGAAATGACAAACGTCAAAATTCAAAGCGGGGGAAATATCTCCGAAAACATCCGATTGCTCCCAAATCCGTGCGGTAAAATCCCGGAAATGTCCGAAGTGGCTCAGATTCGTGGGAAAGGAAACTGACGTGGTAAAGTGACGCTTCCCGCACGCTAGATTATGTATTAAAATGTAACAATCCTTTTTCTTTGTTGTTTGGAACTGATTTGCATTCAGAAAATGTTTGTTATCGTTTGATAGTAAGGAAAATTATATCGATTGTGATGCATTTTACTCTAAAATATCGTATAAATTAATTTTTTATGGAGCGATGCAAAAAAAGCGTCACACTGTATATTTTTTAAACTGATGAGAATTACCTAGCAGTCGATTACCGAAGACCACTGCTACCGCTTCGCTTGTCATCATTTCCATTGGCGACATCACCGTGAGGTAGGAGATGTTTATGAGCGCGTAGCATATCGTTACAAGCGGTATTCCTATGACAATGCTTCTCGGCAGATTTTTGGATGGATTTTTGATTTCTTCGGTGACATAGTTTAGATTGTTCCAGCCGTCATACGCCCACAGACCGGAGTAAAACGCTGTAGCGATATTGCCAATTGAATATTGAGTGTTCGCAAACGGTTGTCTTAAATGCTGAGTATTTCCTGTATGGAGAAAAATGGGATTGAATTGGTGTCTACTTTATAGTAAGTTGTATATCGCGGATTGAATGTATTCAGCTGGTGTCATCTGTTCCGTTGAATAATCTGGGCATCATAAAAATGGGTCCCTTCCTCCACTGTTATGGATTCAAAAGGATGTAAAAGTTGGATTATGTTTGTTACCAAAAAGTACAGACGACAGTAGTTACAACAGAACAGATTTTACTGCTAATGTGTAATGTGTCAGAATTGAAAATTTCAAACAGTAGAATGAAAAGACTTGGGATAACTGGACAGGTTAATATTGACCACAAGTGAAATAAACAGTTGCGAGCACGTGCACCGCCGATGAATACACCCAATCATTAAGCGTTTAAATATTTTACATACCTTCAAACATCTTATATACTCCTCCTAATATCACAATGAGAACTGCGACCAGCTTGGCCGCCGTAAATACATTTTGGACGCTCGTCGCCAAGTTCACGCTATAACAGTTAATATACAGGATGACCACTGTAATAAAAACGATACAAAACGCACCTATTAGTAAATGAGTGTAATTTACATATTTTGCTTCCTAATACTACAGACAGCAGATTTTCCATATTAAAATAAAAAATTTTCATACGAACATGTGTGTGTCCGCTAATATTTCTTTCCTGGCCGATCTACAGAATGTTATGAATTTTTTTGGTTTTATAGTAAAATTTTTTAGGTATTTGGATCAATATTTAAGCACTTTTCAGGGTTTACATCATCCAATATGTGGGTGGATTGGAGAGCGCAGGATAATATTTTTTTGAAGCGCCACTGGCATAATTTTCGGTTTTGTTTAGAACCTTTTTAGTATTTTTTTGTAAAAAAGTTAAAATCGTTTTCGTGTTTCATTAGTATTAATCAAAACAAAACAATGGAAAAAATGATTTGACTGCCGTTTTTATTTTGATGTTTGGGATTCATTTCAAGTAGTTATTATATTAAAGTTGGTTTACGCGTTGGAATTGTTAGTTTCAAATATTCCTGGTTTTACATAAAAATGGAAAATCATAATCATAATAAATTTTAAAATTTTTCCCCTAAAATATCGATTGGAATTTTCAAACACCCTGTATAAATCCGGTTACAGTTTACGGATATGTATTTATCGATATACTACTTAATTACTATAACTGAAAACTATACGAAGCATGTGATCTAAAAAACAAAAAGAAAAGAAAGAAAATTATTGAGCTTCGACATTAGTATGAGCTCAAGTTCAAGGCAATGTCAAACAATAATTAATTATTTATGTTGATAAGTATGGCGATACGGTAAAAAATTTATATATAGATAATTCGGTTAGTTTTTTTTATAAAGAGCGTTTATAATTTATTTTAATAAACGGTATTTCAGTCACTACAATGAAGTCTGACGTGGCACGATCGTAACAAGTACAATTTTGCCACGCCTTATTCATTTTAAATACAAAAAAAATAGCTTCGTAGGCTTCGACATATTTGCATATTTCGTCAGAGAGAGTTTTAATGACAAAACTGGTACCTCAGAAAAAGTAAAGAGGCAATATTTATCGGCTAACTTCAAGGACAATAGTACCGTGAGAAGATTCTGTTACAACAAAAATTAATTACAATTATTAAAGGACAAAAAGTGGCCTGGCTGTCAACTTTTCTTTTCGATTCGCCACATTTCTATGACAAGCGAGTTGAAATCTTGTCGAACGTGAAGCGTGATTCTCACCGAATTTCAGATTAATTTGAACTTTGAAGGTTAGATTTGAATAAATTTCTATTTATTATTTGAGCGGGAGTATAAACTTTATTTGTTTATGTATTTATTTATAAAACAACAATTCTATGCACTTATTAGTGAGATACCCAATATCTATTTATATAATACAGTATATTAACAAACAAAACAAGAAGGAAACAGAAAAAACAACAATAGGCATCCTCCAGAGCTGGGTAGTGAACAATTTAAATACTCGCGTTTCTTGTATATAAAATGAAGAAGAACTTAAGCCAAGTCGAACATTTTATTAAAAGTATGGAGACGTTATTCTCCAGAATTTCAATAAATTGTTCGTCGTTGCGTAAAAAAAAAACAACGTTCAACTTAATAGGTGAGTGGTGGATAGCAAATTTACTAATCAGTATGTTGATATGCGACGCAATATTACGTAAAATCTAAACCCTGCTGTCTTCTGTAGATGAGTGGCGAAACTAAATGCGAATTCTTTTTGCATGTTAGAAATCTGTAATTTAAAAATTTCAAACATTTCAAGATATGCCCCGGGGAACGGAGGTTCTAGAACTTAGGCATTCCGTCTACTTAAATTAATAATTGTAATATGTAATTCTGATAAATGGTTAATGAAACATATATATCTTCTTATCGTTTAAGATCTGTGTGCCTTGAATTAAACATCGGAAACATAAAAGTAAAAGAAAAAAAAACATTCGTTAACCTCGAAATAAAATGTCTCCTCCACGATTTTATATACGCAACTCAGATCCGAAGTCGATCTACTCACCAATAGCCAACAACGCGACCATCTTGACTACAATCTCAGGCGGCTCGCATTCGGTAACGAAAGCCTCCACGGCGTACTTCCCGAAACTGAGGCAGATGATGGCCATCTGCGATGGTTTTAGCACCAAAGTGCTGGCCCATGAGAACAGGAACGCTGGTGGGGCCCCGAATGCATCCATGAAGTAAGCGTATTCCGCACCCGACGACGTGTTCATAGTGCCGAGTTCAGCATAGGATAGAGCGCCTGACACACGATATTTTATTGTAGTAAATACCATTACAACTTTAATTTCTTTATTAATTAGCATATATAGCCTAGCCGTAAATTCTTTTATATTAGTTCCAGACGGTTGTCTATAACCACTGAACTCAAGCCAATAAACTGGAATGGCAACGGCTTAATAGAAAAATGATGTAAAAAATAGAAACAGACGGTTAGTAATTGGGATTCTTGTCTTGTTTTTTGCTTTATCAGCACGGTTCCTAGGGTATAAGCCGCCTGTGAAGATTTGGCCGCCCTATACCTCCAAATATATTTTTTTACACACAAACAAGCAAATTGGAATGTTAACCAAAAACTAATAGTATATTATTATTATTATTGTTTATATGGGTTTAGGACAAAATAAAAATAACTCGAAGCAAAACATCTGTCCATAACAGCATTTCCAAATGTACTGTACGATCTTTTTGTCCAAGGGTACCCAGGTGTGTATAGGGGGGAACACTTACTTATCTTACTGATTTCACAGTGCGACCTCTCAAAGGCTTTCGACTGTATTTCTCATCAGATTCTCTTGAGCAAGCTTGAATTTTATGGAGTGCGTGGTGTTCCACTCAAACTTTTTAAGTCCTATTTAGCAGATAGACAAAGTTTGTGAGCGTAAAGTCTGATTTGGCTTTGGTTGAGGGCTCCGTTCTGGGACCCCTCCTTTTTATTATTAACATAAATGATATTTGCCAGTATATGATGCCTGATACTGAGATTGTGCTGTTTGCTGACGACACAACGTTTATTAATTCAAACAGGAACATCACTACCCTGAGTAATACTGAAACATATACTTTATCTAAGGCCAAAGCATGGTTTTCAGCAAATAATCTACAACTTAATGAAGCTAAAACGAAGAATTTATTAGTGTCTAGTAGCAGTAGGTTTACATGTGTCAGGGGATGCAAGATTCTGGGCGCTACCTTCCTAGCTAAGTAAAAATCTTTCAAATATTCATTTTCTTTTGCGTCAACTTCGCAGAATGGTGAGTTTTGATGTATTAAAGTCAACTTACTTTGGTTTATTTCACTCACGTATAAACTATGCCACCATACTTACCCCACAGTATGGGCCATTAAAATATATAGGATGCAAAAAAAGGCACTACGGACAATTACAAATTCAAATTTTAACGAACACTGTAGGCCATTGTTTATTAAACATAAAATAATGACGGTTCCATATATATTTATATTTCAAAGTGTTCTTGAGATACACTCCAAGACCAATAGTTTGCCGAGGGGTTCTGATTCTCATAGGTATGACACCCGGAGTGCAAATAATCTCGTGCCTCCGAGATACAGGTTGCAGAAATCAAAACAAAACTCTCCTTATATAAAGCTTTATAACACATTGCCAAAATCTTTCAAACTTTTAAACGAAAAACATTTTAAACATAAAATTAAAAGTTTTCTTCTAACTAAGTGTTCTGTGTTATATACATATACATTTATTTTTTTATTTGTTGTCCTGTTATTGTGAAGTTATATACATTGTATATCTAGATTTAGTATATTATGACGTTATATACAATTTTATGTTAGCAAATACTTACAAATATTAAATTTATTTTTTTTTCCTTTGTATGACTTGCTACAAACAATGATATTGTAAAGTAGTCAATAAACCATCTATCTATCTATCAATCTATATATATGCACCCCCGCTAGGAACTGCACTGCGCTCATTTATATCAACCAATCAATTTATTCATCTTTCATTTCAGACAACAATAAAACACATCAAATTAACGAGCACTTATTAAAACAAGAACTGTAGAACACAATTACACTTGATGATTAGAGTCAACTTCCCCGAAAAGTACCTAAAGTATTCCTGGTTAGAATAGAAAACACGGTTACCTAAAATTTGTTTCGTTTTCTCCTTGAACGCCGAAAATGGCAACTCCTTAATCTTCGTAGGTAAAGTATTTATAAGTATTAACATGTATGACAAAGAAAACAAATCACCACCTACCTCACTCTTAATTAAATGTGCCCCACTAAAAATTTATGTTGGCTGCATTACCTGTGCCATTCCAGTTTGATAGATGAGGTTCACTGACTGTAACAGATCTAGGTGTTGAAATTTCGGTAAAGTTTATTGGAAATGTCACGCTTAATAATAGAATCATGTAAATTCGGACGAAAGTTACTTTTTCCCAAAGCGAACGAGCTGACATCGGCACATTTGGAATGAATTATTGATATAGATCACTTTTACTTACTTGTTATCAAATAATATCGCTTTGATTTCATATATCTCTTGCCATTTTTAATTTAGCTCTTTTAGTTTTGTATAAACCAAATGAAAACTTACCCGGTATAGTTTTGATTACTTTAGTTTTGGCCTCTATTCAAGAGGACAAGTGAGGGTGTCATTTAAATTAAATGTTAGTAAATAAGAAATCAACGAATGAAACCGACTTTAGATCTCAGACAACGTTATTATTATTATATTTTGTAAAGATTACGATTAATAGGGCGGTATTTGGAAAACTCATTCACGACTTTTTTTGATTTATTGGCATTTAGATCGGCAATACGTGCTGCTTTGTTTTCGTCGGCGTTTACACGCGATCCATATATTTATAGTTATCCACGTGATGAGGTGTTGACGTCAAACGAATTTCTACAGACACGTTCAATTTGAAATATGATTCACTAAAAGTTTAACGGCTCAAAATAAAAATAGTCGAGACAATTTTGCACGACAAAAGTGTACGCGCCATAATAATTTTGGGGAGGTAAAATCGCGTTGTATCGTTACGAATAATTATGGTCGAATTATCAATACGACCTTGAAAAATTACAGCATAGAATGAGGATACAATTGTGAATAGGAGCAATAGAAAGTAGCTCGAAACTTATCGTTTTTAAATGCCGTAAAACTAACTAATAATATAATGGCCCCTGGATTATAATCAATAACGAATGCAAATTAATAAAATTATCAGAAATACACATATTTACTTGAAATAAGTGCTAACTATTAAGGACGTGTTAAGTTTATTATGAATCTGAATGCATGATGCCAGGATACCTCGATCCGCTTTTGTTACCCTTATAATTCTGGCGCGAGTATACTTGTACACTGAGAGCGGAAGAGCACGATCAATTAAAAAAAAAAAAAATACAAATAACTAATACCTAACACCACACCCCTATTTCACGTTTAATTAATTTAGAAAAATGATATAAACCAACGGGAAAAAAAGCCTTACCTAAAAGGGACAGCAGACCACATGCCATCCATATCACAAAACTCATACCGATCGAGCCAGTTCTTTCCAACAAGCCCGATGGAGAAACGAAAATTCCAGAGCCTAAAAACAAAATCAGAATATGAATACAAATGGTCCAAATATAAAATAAAAGTTTGTGATTCAAATTTTAGTAACCAAAACTAAAAAAGAATCATTTTTAAATATAAACGCCGTTCAAATTTAATTTCTGATTTTTTTTTTTACCATTAAAAGACAAAAAAAATAACTGTATTTAATTGGGCACTAAATTTGAGATACGACTCAATACCCTATTATTTGGTATACCGCTTCATGTTCTCAAAACCGATATTTTTTTTGTGGCAGCATATATTTTTGTTCAATTATTCGACGAAGACGTGAGCGTGTAATATAATTTAGTTCCAACGAAAAATGTACAAAAAGGAAGATAAAAGATAATTACTACCTATTAAACTTAACTTAAACACGTTTGACGCAACCTACTCATAATAAATGAATATAATATTTACCGATCATGGTGCCAACAATTAGAGCCACCCCACTGATGAGTCCCACCCGTCTCTTGAGGTGAATAGGGTCATTCTCAGTTGGGCCCGACCTCTCCAACTTGTCCGGCCCTCCGGGCCCCTCCTCGGTCCCTGCGTAGGCATCACCTTCGCCCCCGAGTCCCCCATTGCGGAGGGACCCGACGTGGCACCCATTGAGTGTGGCTGAGCCCCGACTGCCACGCCATTGAACACCGCCTTCTTTACCGTTAGGACATCCATTATTGTTTCCTATAAGTAAAATTAATTTGAAAAAAATCGGAGATTTCTTATGTATAAAGAAATTTAAATTAATGACAATATCCCATATATTGGCAGCCTGATGAAGTGGGAGCGACAGTCACAATATCATCGCTGCCTAAACTTGGGCTTTACATTGTAATTTGTAGTTTGTAGTCATTTTATTTTCAAGAGTCTTGTACTTTAATTTCATCTAACTGTGTAACAGAATCTGTCTAGCTACTTATGTTTAATTAATTATTCTACAGAAAGACTTACTGTGGTAGTAGCATTTTCTTTTCTATTGTGAGCATTTAAGCTTATAATCTTATAATCTCTTTTTGTATTGCTTAAATTCGATACTTTATTGATTTTGCTTGCGTTGTTCTTCAAATATGCCACTAGAAGCCATATCAGCCATATTGCCATATTGATGAAATTCAAAAGAAAACAAAAAAAAACAGATTTTTGCGGTATCTCTATATTGTTAAAAATATGCTTTATAGCTTTAATTCTAAAATCTCTCAGAAGGAATAAAGAAATCCAAGCTGTAATACTTTTATATTATATATTAAATAATCTAAAATATAGATTGCAACTCTTAAACTATGTCTCCTTACATGTGCTAATGACTTTCAATTGGATCATGAAGGTAACAAATTGTGTGCTTAGAGAGGTACAAGTGGATCTTTTTAGCGTTAAATTCAAAAAGTTCAAAGCTGTTTCAAATTAAATGTAACTTATATAATTTTATTTTTCCTGTAATTACCATATTTTGTAAAGCTTTTCAATTAGTACATGAATACATAGTTTAGTACTTGTTCTTTAAATTCTTTCCATTAATCCTTGCCTTTTCTTTGTGATCTGATTAATTCTTTGCTTCAACGGTTCTCAACAAATTGTCTTGCCAGTTTCGCCCAACTTTCTTACTAAATTTATTCGTTTATATCTATCATAAATTATTTTCTACAAATTAATTTTCATTTTATCATTAGTGTGCAAAACAGTACGCATTTTAAATCTACTGAAAACATCCGATCGCTCAGCTCTACAACAATATGTTCGAACAACCAATTACTTTCCTAATAAATTGTCCGTTGCATTTTTAAAAATTAATTTATTAACAATACTGTTTAAATCATTGTTTGATAATCGAAAAATGCTAATTTTTTTTTCCAAAGATACTTCCACAGGCTACTGTAATGCTTTTTACAAAACTTCTGGATTCCTCCTGCGTCGGTTTTTGCTTAGTCGAAATTGCTGACCTTTCGCCAATCATGCTGTTCGCTTCTTCAGAGCTTGACTGAAACTGCTCTGAAGAAGCCAACAGGATGATTGGCGAAAGGTCAGCAATTTCGATTAAGCAAAAACCGACGCAGGAGGAATCCAGAAGTTTTGTAAAAAGCAACTTGAGTTTGGAAAATGTTTTGCTTTCCCTCACGTTTTTTGAGTTCTATCAGCCTACGCGAAGGAGACTTTGAAATGAAACATACGGGCAAGAAATATGTTGTCAACCAGAATTTTTCAAGCATCGTTTGAGTATTAATAATCGTTAGTTTGGTTACTAGCAAATGCAATAATAGTACGTTGAAATTATTATTTACCAGTACCATAAAGGAAAAATAATGGGTGCAATTTCCAGTGAAGTGACTGTAGCAACAACTACTGTGTTTAATATAATTAAGAACGATGGTGATACTGTCAGTATTGTTCGCGGTAAAAGCTCAAGCCCTTCAGAAGCTGTTTCTCAAAGGATTGTGTGGCATTCAATTAGAATGTGTAAGTCGGGAATAAGAAACACACTACGAGAAGTAACCGCAAGGTGATATGGAGAAACTGGGATGAATGTTTCCAGTTTTTATAAGGTATGTTTTATAGGTACTTTGCGGTATAAATTCTCTATTGTTGACGGAAACTCAAAAAAGAATCGTTATATTTCGGCCAATTCAGAGCTTTCGTGAACCATATATATCCTGGACAAAGTTACCTAAAGCGACGATAAGCAGATTTGATGTCTGTATGGGAACAGAAAAAAAAAAAACAGAATCCACAAGGATTGTATCAAAAGGTAAAAAACATTCGCTGTTACCAAGTGCAGGAAAGTTATATCCATTCGGAGATTTTATCTTTGAACAGAAGTTTCATGCGATATCTACCAAAAAAATGGTGGCAGAACATGACATTAAAGTTTTGTCACATCCCTCTGGCAGTCTGGATCTTAATATAATAGAGATACTTTGCCATAAAAACATCGCCTAAAAATCATCCTAAGAGTACTTGTGTGCCTAATATAATATAAAATAAAATTAAACCGTAATAATTCCATCACAAAAAATGTTATAAATGTATATTTACAATTGAAAAAAAAAAGTATTTCGGTAAACTGGCATTTTATTAGCAAATCAACTGTTTGTTCCGACATATAGTGACTTTGCGGAAGCTGATCAGTGCATAAATAAATGTTTAACGCTAGGGAAATGTCACGGAAGCCAATAGTATATTATGCAACAAGTGCGGTAAACGGCATTTGAGTCAGGAGTTTATTTGGCACGAGCGGAGAGAGTATTTAATAAGCGAGTGACTTAAAAAGTTTACCAAACGTATTGCATTGTATACTTTTTCTATGATCGTTATTTTTTGGGTACAATTTGACAACCGTCAGAATTGACAAACGTCAAAATTCAAGCCGTGCGGTAAAATCTCCGAAAATATCCGATTGCTTCCAAACCCGTCCGTAATGTCGCGGAAATGTCCGAAGTGGCTCGGATCCGTGGGACCCGACACTCTCACGCTTCCCGCACGTTAGATCGGTGTAAAATCAGGTACTTTACAGAAAGGAGTAGAAACAATATATTGCACCTAAGAGAATAACGAATTTAAATCATTGATTTTTCAAGCGCCCAAAAAGAAAGCAATAGTGTTTGTGGTCGATGCCAGTATTTAATCACGAGCGGCGACTATTAAAAGCGAATATTTTTCGGCTACTAAAAATAAGCGAGTCTAGTATAAAGTTTTATAAAAAGAATCAGGGCTATCGATGCTTTATTGATTTGTTTATTGTTGCGGCAGAAAAAAATGTTGCCAATGTCAGCGTGCCAGATCATAATGTTTACGACAAATTGCGTTTTGTCTCGCGTATTTAGACGCATCGACCACCGCAAATTCTAAGAGTGTGGTTATTTTTTAATCAATCCGTCGTCGTTTAAACGCCGCTTGTCTGACCGCACAATTTTCTTTTTCACCTTTTCCCGACATTGACGACGATCTCGGTAACGCTATTGTCCACACTAATTTAAAAATAATCGATGGTAAATTATAAATTACCAGGCAACGGCGGAATTGTAACACACGCTGAATAGATTGATAAAGAGGATTTTTGTCGTCGGTCTATTTAGAATCAATCTTATACAGGGCGTTGTTAAAATATTTCGGTTATAGAAAATTTTCTAATTCCTAAGCGGATCATAGTCACAAAAAATAAAATAAATATACAGTATACTTTTAAGTTGAGTTTTTAGTTATAACAAATTACTTCGGTCACCATATTTTATGTTTAAAAAAACTATAACGAACAAATAAGAAAAGATCATCTACTATTTGGAGTCACACCAGGATAAAGACAGGCCAAGAGATTCCTCAGAACCCATAGATCAGATTTACAGCATACCTGCTAAGCTACTGAATGGAAGGCGGTTAGAATAATGGTAAGCCTACTGAAGAGCCACTGCCGAGTTTAACAGGTATGTAAGCCTAATGCGAGTGAAAGAAAACAGTAAATGCAGATTTTGCCAAGAAATAATAAAACCACAGATTTAGAGGGCTTCCGAAAATATAATTCCACCGTTCAGTGGAGGTCCATTCAAAAACTTTTTGTTACTTAAAAATAACCCAACACACATAACACAAGACAATGATTAACGAGCGCACGTGTTATGCCAACCAAACTAGAGGCAACGAGCTACATCAAGGAGCTATTATCGAAAACGTGGAGCTAGAGACGAACCTAGATAAAGCTCTATAACTATGGAGGGAGTCACAGTAGATCCGTTTGGTCCCGAACAATAATGCCTTCAATTCACCAAAAAGCTTACGGGTTTAGAATTTGTAAAGTGGTACTTGATTCGGGTGCATGTTAGAGAGGTTCGTAGATAGCAACCAGATATTTACTTTATTTTTGAATAAGGAAAAAATTGCATTTCAACAGCCTGTTATAAAAAAAACTCAACTCAAACTCAAATTAGGGTGTTTTCTAACGTCTAAACTCTAACCCAAACTTAAGAAGAAGTTTAGTAAAAATTTCAAATAATTTTTAAAGGAGGGATTTAAAAAAAATTGTGTTATTCTAATATTGTATTTTAAATACTCTCTTGGCAGAGTTGTTTCAATTAACGAGGATCTAATTTACCGCTAACTAGATTCTAATTAACAAGTCCAGTGGCGTCTCTCGAATTTTTTTCTTTTTTTCTTTAGATTCTGAATTTTTTTGTGAATTTGGCAAAAAATAAAAATTTTGTGCATTAAATTATTTTCGTATTTTGCTTTATTTTTGACAAGAAAAACAAATATTTTAATGCATTTTCCACGAGTAATATAACAAAAGTAACCAGCAAAAATTGAAGCTTACTTCCATGATCGTTTTTTTTAGTCATAAATGTTAGGACAGGAATAAAATCGATGACCTACTTTCCATTAATTTTCGAAAAAATAAATAAAACTCGCCAAATAAGTAAATAAATAAATACAATTCGTAATGACATTACAATTAATAATTGTCTTGAAATCGGGTTATTTTTAAGTAACAAAAAGTTTTATTTATTATTTTATATTATTATTTATTATTTGAATGGATCTCCAGTGAAGCGTGGAATTATATTTTCGTAAGCTCCCTTAAATACACCTCTAAATCTGAGAAATTAAACGTAGCAGCGACCAATTTAGCAACCCCTTTCCAACAGGAAAACATTTAGCAAGACAGCTTCATTTGTGAAAATAATTAAAACCTTTGGTTTCGA